GAACCACATATTCTTCTCTTTAGACGACCTCTTCCTAAAGATCAACAAAAATGAAGAGTGTCTGGGGATTGCCAGTGGAATCGTTTTCAAATTTAATGTGTATATGTGTATATATGGTAGTATTCAGTGAATACTTGAAAAATGTACAAATCATTCATCCATACCTGTGCATGAGCTGTATTCTTCACAGCAACAGAGCTCAGTTAAATGCAACTGCAAGTACATTACCATAAGGTGTTTAAGATAAAATTTCTTCCAGTCTGTTTTCTCTTTATAATATAAATGACTGTTTGACTTTACCTGTTAATTCTGTTTAATAAAGTTTTCACATTGCATTTATCACTGTTAGAAGTTAATGAGTTTTATTTTCTTGACATTCATTTGTTACTTTGGGGATTATTCTGTGATTGTGGTTAAAACCATTTTAGACTTGGGGCGGGGGGTTGGATGCTAAATGGATTGAAAATCACTTTAGTGTACTTCACTTAACCAGTGGGAATAGTGGGTACAATGGCCAAGGTTAAATTCTCTAAAAAGGTAGAAAACAGTCATACAGTTGGCCTCTGCAGAGGTACTTTTGGCGAGCCTCTCACTGGCCAGACTATCCAAAGAACCTTCCTGCCATTTTGTGAGTCAGAGTGTACAACCTCCAGGCCTCTAACAATTGCCATCATTTGGTTTTTGGAGGCTGTAAATCAGGGGTGGGAGAGAGGGAATTTTGGTGGCTTCCAACCTAACTGTACACAATTCAAATCCACTCAGAACCTCTGAGAAAGATGAAATGCCATTGGTTTCATTTAGCTATGAATCAGTTCCAACTTAATGGTTGTTAATGTGCCTTTGAGCTGCCTTTGACATAATGATCCCATGCACAATAGCTCTGAACTCTGTTCTGTTCTGAGCTAATCTCACTATCTGCAACACACCCACCCACCCCTATTACCACACTTAATATGTCAATCCATCTCATTGAGGGTCTTCCTCTACTGCACTGTCCCTCCAACCCTCCCAAGCATGACGTCCCTCTCCAAGGACTGATCCTTCCTTGCAACATGTCCAAAGTATGTCAGATGAAGCTTCAGAATCCTTGCCTCCAAGGAGCAGCCTGGTCACACCTAATCTAGGATGAACTTGTTTGCTCTAGCAATCCATGGTATAGTCAATATTCTTGTCCAGCACCACAGCTCAAAGGCATCAGTGCTCCTATCATCCCTAGTCATTGTCCATCTTTCTGATTCATAGCAAGTATTTGAAAAGACCACAGCCTGTATCAGGTGCACCTTAGTCTCCAGACTGACATTGCTGCTCTTCAGTACTTTGGAGAGGTCTCTGACAGGCTTTCCCAATGCAATTCATTTCTTATAGTTAAGTGCCGTCAAGTCATAAGCAATTCATAGTGACCCTATGATTGAAAGTACTCAACACTTGTGTGACTTTCATCCTTTGTCCAGTGGGTTCATAGGGTTTTGGGAGGCATGCTATTAATGGAAGTGGATGCCTCTCCTACTTCCAAGCTTGTTTTAATCGAGGAGCTCCACCAAACACTGTCCACCATGCGTAACTATTAACGCATTTGACACATCAGCAACCACAAGTTACCTCTGTATGGCAAGTGGACATACCAGAGCTATACAACCTAGAAGAATGTTTGAACTGTAATGAAGGCATTTTTATCACGTGACTTAATTTTAAAATATGTTGCAGTTCTGCTTTGCTGTTTAATAAAAAGCTGTTTCTCTATAACCAGGAGAGGATAAATAGATGAATGAGGCCTTCTAAGAATCAAATCCTTATGCACATCCAAAAACTCCAACAGGGTAAAAAGGGAAGCCACATATTAGGGGAAAAAATCCTCTTCTGTAATAGTTTGCTTCCAGAAACCCTATGAACCTGGAGAGAGGATGAGAGACACCCAAGCATTGAGGACTCTCCTTCATAGGGTCGCTATGAGTCGCCTGCGACTCGACGGCACTTAACAACAACAACAACATGTCAGACAAGGGACTTCTATCTAGAATTTATAAAATACTTGAGCACCACAACAAACAACACAGGATTTGAACAGACACTTCACCAAAGAAGCATTCAAATGGCAAACATGAAGAAATGTTCAAAATCTCTAGCTCTAAGAGAGATGCAAATCAAAACAACTATGAAATAACTTCTCACCCCAGTAAGAATAGCAAAATTTAACAGAACAGCGAACAACAAATGCTGGCAAGGTTGTGGAAAAACTGGAACCCTTATTCACTGTTTGTGGGAGTGTAAAATGGTGCAACCACTATGAAAGGCTGTATGGTGGTTTCTCAAAAGGTTGCAAATAGAAATACCATTTGACCCAGCAATTTAGGAAGTTTACCCTAAAGAAAGCATAACTGCTACCCAAGCAGATATATGCACACCCGTGTTTATTGCGGCTTTGTTCGCAATAGCAAAGAGCTGGAAACAACCCAAGTGCCCATCAACGGATGGATAGAGAAGTTCTGATATATTCACACGATGGAATGCTAGGAACTCATGAAATACTATGCTAAGTGGACATGCTAAGAGGACTTTATGCTGCACGGAATATCTCAGTCACAAAAGGACAAATATTGCATAGGGTCACTATTGTAAAATAGGACTGACATTGGGATTGAGGGGAGACAAGAACGGGAGGAATGATGTATACTGCATTGCAACAGATGAGGGAGAGAACTGTTTAAAAGGGATATATGATTAAGTATTATTTTCATGACAGGAGTTCAGAATGAAGGCTGTACAGTGGAGTGGGCTTGGGAGGGATTGTATAGCAATGAGAGTTTTTCTTTTACTCATCAAGGAGAAAAGTGAATTAGGGGAAGGAGTGGGCAGAGAGAAAAGTGCAACAATGAATGACTGGAAACCCTAAGTCTCTGTAAACTTTCATTAAAATAAAAAAAAATACACCAGTGACTTTAAAAAACAAAAAAAAAAAGCTGTTTCAAAGATAAAACCAAAACCAACAAACAAAAACAAAAGCCCACAAACAAAATAAAACCAATCCCCAACCCAAAAAACAGTCTTGGAGAAAGTGCAACTAGAGGGCTTCTTGGAGATGAGAGTAGTGAAGCTTCATGTCAGTTTGGAGATGTTAGATGCCTTGAGTAGAGTACAACTATAACAACCCTATGAACAAAAGATCCGAAGCCTTTTCTATCCTGTGCTGTCCTCACACTTTCTTACACAAAAGCCCACTGCATCAGTCCACTTGGTCCAGGGTCTTCCTCTCCATATCTGACCGTCCACCCTTCCCAGCATCATGTCCCTGTCCAAAGAAAAGCCCCTCCTAGAAACATACCCAAAGTATGTGAGGCAAAGCCTCATTATTCTTGCCTCCAGAGAGCACTCTGGTTGCACCCTCTCCAAGACATACCTATTTGTTCTCTTGGCCGTGCATGTGATGTTAAATGATCTTCAACACCACATCACAAAAGCATCAATAATTCTTCTGTCATTCTTATTCACTGTCCTGCTCGCAGATGCATAGCAAGTGATTGTAAAGATTCTAGCCTGAATCAGACACATTTTAGTCCTCAAACTGGCATCAATTATTATTCCTCAATAATTTGGAGAGTTACCAGTTAATTGCAGATTTTCCCAGTGCGTCTGAGTTCCTGACTACTGGTACTGTTGAACATGTTAGGAGAGGCTACTCCTTGGAAAGGTGAAAGGCCAAAGGAGAGGAAGACTCAAATGAGTTCATGCAGAGTCGGCTGCAATGGGCATAAATGTGTTGGAAGACGATTGAGGATGGTACAGGGTAAGATAGGGCCCATCTACTTATAAGGTCACTACGAACCCTATTCAACTCCGCAGCACTTAACCACAATATATAATACTTCAGGGCTCTTTTTATGTGCACAGCCTAGGGAGGTCGAGGATCAGAAGTAGGATATCTGACAGCAGCACTTCAGCAGGATAGCCTCAGCCCATCCTTAGAGCAGCCACAAGCGACGACAGCGCGCAGGTTCCCCTTACCCTACATGCACTTCCGGCCAGGAAGAAGGGGCGAGACCAGGCGCGATTCTGTGACGCAATTCCTGGCGTCTCTTCCGCCAAAAGTGGACTACGTAGAGATAGTCGCTTGTGCTCCCCTCTACTAACAGCGTTCTGGCCTACTCTCAGCCGTCCGTCATGGCCTCGAAGCGGCCTCAGGAGCCTTCAGGCGAGGTGAGACGGCCCCGGCGTGTCCTAAGCCCGGAGCTCCGGCGGGCGCGGGACTGCGCTGCTCCCACCTGTTCTCCAGGCCTCGCCCCCCCCCCCCCCCCCGGCATAGTGGGCGTTCGAGGGGCCAGAACTCCCAAAAGCGCTGCTACATCTTCACGCGTTGGCAACCGGCGGCGTCAGCCAGGGGCTGATGGCGCCACCAATCTTCGGGGTCGCAGACTTTACAGGATTTAGAACTATAATGCCAGATATTGACTAACTGTTGCTTTACTTCATTCCAAATGTGTGAAGTCTTGGAAGTTTTTTCCCTCTGAAGAGACGGTAGTCCACTTTAAAACGCTTTCGCTCATTCATTGCTATCGAGCTGTACCTGCTGACCTCCATTGGTTTTTCAGAGGCTGTAACTGTCAGGCAAGGACGAGCGCCTGGTGGATTCGAACTGCCAGAGAGGCGCCGCCATTGGGTTAGATGTGCGACTTCTGACCTGCAAAGCTGCCTGAAAACATTTTAGATTTTAAAAACAAGACATTTTCACCTACCTGTACGTATTGCTGCCCGAGATGAAGCACTGGCAGTCTCATAAATTAATGCTTAACTAAATGGTATGACGATAATCTTAGTATAGGTAAATTTCTTAACATAAAAATGAGGCGGGGGTGGTTAGTCACAAATTTTTATTCAGATACAAGCTTCTGAATATATTCAGGCTAATGATGGCGGGACGATTTTCTAGCAAAACATGTTTTTTCCTTTTCAACATAATACAAATCATACTTTTGACTTTTGAGAAAGCTAATGGAAATAAGATTTACAGTGTATTTTATGTGTTAAGTGAAACATTCTACTACAATGCTTGGTTATCTTTAACCAAGCTTGAATGGTAAATTTATCAAGATTACAACTTTAAGGAAACTCCAGTGTGATTTTCACTGTTTAATCTGAGTTGAGTTTTATTTCCAATTTAATTGTCATTGTTTCAACTTTAAACATTTTGAAGACTTTTTTTAATTAAAACCTTTTTCGGACCATTATAGAGTTGCTACTATTCACAAAACAAAAACTGTTTGCTTTTGGATGATCTCGGAATTTATGTAGCCAAAAACTCCTTTCCCCCCCCCCCCCCAGGGCATCAAGTTATCAGCAGATGTCAAACCATTTGTTCCAAAATTTGCTGGTCTAAAAGTCGTATGGTCAGAGCCCTCAGAAGCATGTGTCTTCCCAAGCTGCGCATCTACCTACTATCCATTTATTCAGGAACTCCCAGTGCCTGAGTATGTATTTTTCTTAATAACACTATAGTACTTTATTTCTTATAATGGTAATTACACATCCAGATATGCAGCAACATACCTTTACAATTCTGTACAGTGACTAAAGAATATGCTTCTCAGTTAAGAAGGATCTGAGTGAACAGCAGTTTGACTGTTTGTTTAATTGTTGTTAGGTACTGACAGTTTCCAGTTGATAGTGACACACTGTGCAACAAATCCGAATCCTGCCTGATCTGCCTTCCATCCTCATAATCTCCATTGTGCTCGTTGTTGGAGTCACTGGGTCTGTTCATCACATTGAGGATCTTCCTCTTTTTAGCTCATCCTTTACTTTTCTAAGCATGATGTCTTCCTCCAAGAACTGACCCCTCCTGATTACATAGCCAAATTATGTAAGATGAAGTGTCATCATCCTTGCTTTGAGGCAACACTCTGATGGCGCTTCTTCCAAACAGATTTGTATGTTCTTTTGGCCATGTGTGCATGGTATATTCAGTATTTTTTGCCAACATCTCTATTCAAAGGTATTAATGAAACTATAATTAAGCTTTCCATTTTCCTATTTTTCAAAAGAACCAAAACTCAAATAATTTTGAAACATAAAGCTATTCTGAACAATTATTCTATATGCATGTGAGAGGATGATTCTGAACACACCTTCCTGTCCCCCCCAAAATTATCCCCAAAAAAACTCAAAGAAGCCTAGTTAAAATGAATTATTTCAAGAGAAGAAGAGGGAAGAGAAAGGAAGATCAACCATTGACTAATCTGAACATGATTGCCCTCTCTCTTTTTTTTATTGTGATACCCCAAAGTTGACCTTTTTGGTTTAGTTGGCCAGATAGAGCTCTTCCAGATTTCTTACTTTAGGCTAGTGAACATGTCCAGGGCTGTATCTGTTGAAAGCATGTCAGTTAGTATTTCATCAATTCCTGGGGTCTTATTTTTTGCTGATACCTTCAGTGCAGCTTGAACTTCTTCATTACTATTGGTTCTTGATCATATGCTTCTTCCTGAAATGGTTCAGTGTTGACTACTTCTTTCTGGTACACTGAGACTGTACCATCTATCTTTGGATGCTTTTGAGTCATTCATTATTTTGCCTATAGAGTCCTTCAGTAGTGAAACTTGAGATTTTAATTTGTTCTTCAGTTTTTTCATCTTGAGAAATGCCATGCATGTTTCCCCCTTCTGGTTTTCTAACTTCAGTGTATTTCCTTAGAATGCTTTGTTTTGCCTTCCTGAGCTGCCCTTTGAAATCTTCTATTCATCTCTCTTACTTGGAAATTTCTTTCCTTTGTTTTGACTTCTTTGTAACAAATTTATAGTCACTTCTGATGTCTAGTTTGAAATTTTCTTTCTTCTGTGTCTTTACCTTTTGTTCACTCATTAGTATTTAGTGCATCAAATCTATTCTTGAGGTCTTTTTTTTTTTTTTTTCTTCAAGTGGTATAGACTAGCCTATAGGTTATATTTTGATGATCTATTCCACAGTCATCCCCTGGCCTTCTTTTCCACAGCTACAATCAATCTGATTTTCTATGTGGTCCATCAGGTGCGGTCCATGTGTACAGTTGTCATTTATGCTTTTTAGAAAAGATATTTGCAATGAATAAATCATTGTATTAAATTCTGTCATTTGGTCACTTGCCTCATTTTTGTCACCAAGACTATATTTTCCAACTATCATTTCTTCTTTGGCTTTGGTAGCTGGTGTGTATATTTGAATAATAATTATACTCATAGATCTTCCTTCCCTGAGTATTGAATAATATCCTGTGAAACTGTGAAGTGCAATGAACTATAAATCTAGTTGTGGGTATCCTATAAAGTATAATTCTTACTTGGACCCACAACCAACACCCTTGGTACCAGCAGTCAGGAAATCAGGAGACAGACATATGGCACTGAGAAAGTCTGTAGTCAGGGACCTCCAAATTACTGAGGAGCAGTAATGTCAGTTTGAGACTAAGGTGCGTCTGATACAGGCTTTGGTCTTCCCAATCACTTGATATGTATCTGAGAGCTGGACGATGAATAAGGCTTACAGAAGAATGAATGCCTTTGAGCTGTGGTGTTGGAGAAGAGTAATGAATAACCTATGGATTGCAAAAAGAACAATTATGTCTTAGAGAAAGTGCAGCCAGAGTGCTTCTTGGAGGCAGAGAAGATAAAGCTTCATCTCACATACTTTGGAGTTGTTGTTAGGAGAGGTTTATACCTTAGAGAGAGACATCATGCTCAGAAAAGTGGAGGGTTGTTTAAGGAGAGGAAGAGCCTCAACCAGGTAGATTGATACAGTGACTGACACAATGTGCTCTGATATGTCAGAAAGTGAGGATGGCACGGGTTAGGACAGGGTTCAGATATGTGTTCCTAGAGTCGCTATGTCCTGTATATACACCACTTGATGGTTCCTAACAACTCATTGAAAAAATATTGTCCTTTTTTTTTTCTTTTTTTTTTTTGTGTGTGTCTTCCAATCTGCAGGGTTCATCTTCTGGCCTATATCCCAGTTTTTTAAGTTAGTTATAGACTTTTTGGAGGCCATTTATTTCATAAGTGAATAGCTAGTACTTCCTAGTCTGAAAGATCTGTTGAAACCTGTCTACGTTGGGTAATCCAGCTGGTATTTGAAATAACAGTGGCTTAGCTTCCAGCAGCACAATAATAGACAAGCCACCATAGTCCAACATACTGACAAATAAGTGCCATATCCACAAGAGTAAAATATGAAACAAAGCAGACAAATAAAAACAAACAAAAACACCAAAAAACCCCATAACACACACTCCTATGGATAATAGAAAATAAGCTCTGTCACCTGGGATGGTGTATCTGCCAGTTGAGCAAAAGACTAGAGTTGGAGATGTGGCCAGGTGAGAGTTTCTATGCTTCTGAATGATGGCCAGTGCTCCAGGAGGTGAGCCAGATCACTTCTGGTCTAGAAGTATGTCGAGGTATTGGTAACCCAGCTTGGGGAAGAGTTCCTGCTACCTCAGAAGTCAGCCTGGCTAAAGATGGTGTCGTTCCCTCTTTTGGACACAGTACCCAGAAAGAGTAATTAGAGATGGCTAGCATAAAGAGAGAGTCACTGCTGAACTGAGCTGTACCAAGGATGACATACCCTGCAAAGGGTGCCTTCTGCTAGTATGACCACCCATTGTGCCAGTAGGATGCCTAGTGAGAAGGAAGGTCCCCAGACAGGAGCAATGCCCCTACTAATTCATGGACTCACTTGGAACAGAGTTCCGTATTTGTTACCAATCAAAAACAGATCCAATGGAGGGCAGAAATTATATCATTAATATTTCATGCAAGTAAAATTTTGCTGGATTATTTAAGACTGATTGTAACAGTATATCAACAGAGAACTTAAATAAAATTCAAGTTGTATTTGATGTTAGATGGATCAAATGCAACTTGAATTTCTGTAAGTTTGGCTGAAACAGAGAATACCAGAAAGATATTTCCTTGTGTTTCATTGACTAGAGAAAGGCTTTTGAGGGGAGCTCTGGTGGCCTAGTGGCAAGGAGCTGCAACTACAATCCCAGAGGCACACAGTTCGAATCCACCAGATGCTCTGCCGGGAAAAGGAGGAACAATCTCCTCCTGTACCAGACAGATCTGATTTGACGGTACACTCACACACACACACACACACACACACACACACACACACACAGAAAGGCTTTTGACTGTATGGATCATAACAAATTGTGGATAACATTGAGAAGACTGGGAATCCCAGAACACTTAATTGTGATTCTGTGAAATCTATACATAGACCAAGAAGCAGTTGTCGGAACAAAACAAGATACTATTTGTCTTCAGTATGGATTAATTCTATCTCCACATTAAAATAACAAAACATTCTTACCATTGGACCAGTAGGCAGCATTACTATAGAAGAAGTAAAGATTGAAATTGTCAATGATTTCCTTTTCTTTGGCTCCACAATCAGCACTCGTGATAGCAGCAGTCAAGAAATCAAAGAAATGTTGCATTGTGAAAATGCTGTTAAGGACCTCTTTAAAGTACTGAAGAGGAAGAATATTGGTTTGAAAGCTAAGGTGTGCCTGATGCAATCTATTTGCTTCCTGTGCACCTGAAAGTTGGACAGTGAATAAGGATGACGGGAGAATAATTCATGTCTTTGAATTATGGTGTTCAAGAAAAGTACTGAATATCTCATGGACTGCTAAAAGATCTAACAAGTCTTAGACGTGCAACCAGGGTGCATAGAGACAAGGATGGTGAAAGTTCATCTCACATACTTTTGTCATATTGTCAGGTCATGTAGCCCATAGAAAAAGACATCCTCTCGGAAAGGTAGAGGGTCACTGTAAAAGAGGACAACCTTCAACGAAACAAGTTGACCCGATTGCTGTAACAGGATTTTAGCATAGTGGACATCATGAGAATGTGCAGGCAGGATTTCAGTCTTTTTTGTTCATAGGGTCTTTGAGTTGTAGTCAACTTGATGGCACTTAGCAATAGAAAAGATTGATCTACAGCGTTGATAATTTTTGATGGAAGTTGGTTAAACCTGGCTTTGAATGGGGTGGAGGGGAGGCGGGAGAGTAACAACTTCATGTGGGGAAAAAACCAATAGCTTAATGTTTTGGTTAGGGATTTTTTTAAGGTTGGTGTTTTGGGTTTGTATATAGGTAAGAAAATCTAAAAATCAGAATTTTTGTGTACCATAGAGTAAGAACCAAACCATAGCTCACACTCTGGTGGGTTTTCTGAGGCAGTTACTTGTATGGGAGGAGAGTGCCCATCCTCCTGCAAAGCAGCTGGTGGCCTTGAACTATGTGCCTTTGAGATTACAGTGTAGCTTCTTGCCACTAGACCACCAGAGCTCCACTAAAATCAGAGTTGTTGTTGATTGCCTTTGAGTTGTGCACAGTTCATAGCAACCCTATGAACAAAAGACCTGAGGGCCTTCTATAACTATTGTTTCTCCATAGAGTTTCCAGAGGCGTGTGGTTTAGGAAGTGAATGCTACTTCTGTTTCCAAACCTGTCTTAAACTGAGAGCTCCACCAAACTGTCCATGGTGGACAGCCATTATTGGCATTTGAGGCCCCAGTGGCACAAGGTTCAACATCACAGCAAACCTAGATTACCTCAGCATAGCAAATTGACAGAAGAGTGCTGTACAATTTAGAAGAATGTTCTTCTAAAATACAATTCCTCTGGCTCAAATTTTAAATAAAAGGACCCTCCAGGAGGTCTTGTTGACTCTAAGAAATCCAACCAGACATTCCACACTGACCCTCAGCCAAAACAAAAGAGCCCATCTTAGAGAGTCCAGCTGCCACTTCACCCAGTCTCCAAAATGGAGACAAGGGTTTGACCTTAAATGCAAGTGTCCTCCAGGAGATCTTGCTGACTCTAAACAAGAGGATTAACTAAAACAAACAACCCACACAGATCTTCAATCAAAACAAGAGCATCATTTTACAGAGTCCAGCAACTTCAAGTCCAAAATGTTGTTGTTAAATGTCATCTAGTACCAACCCTATAAACAAAAGACCTTAACCTTGTTCTAGAACTATTGTCCTTTTTGTAAGTTCACAGAGTTTCCACAAGCATGTTTAGGAAGTAGGTGTTATGCCTGCTTCCAAGGCTGTCTTAATCTGTGAGCTCTACCAAACATTGTCAACCATGTGTAACCATTATGGCATTTGAGAGACCAGTGGCACACTCACTGTTCAGTATCACAGCAATCCAAAGTTACTTCAGTACAGAGAAATGACAGAACAGTCCTGTACCACTGAGGAGAATGTTCATTTCAAACACAATTGAAACCAAGGCCTGCAGGCCTGTGACTCTTGGGCCTAAATGAATTTTAAAAGACCCCAGCCCTGTGCACCAGGCTCTCATTGACTCCAACAAGAGGCTTCTGGACAACCAAAATAATCCAGAGCTGACCTCTGTCCAACACAGGACTCATCACTCCAAAGCCATATGTGTCTTAAAAGACTGATTTTCCCTTTGTTGTTGTTTATTATGTGCCATCAAGTTGCTTGCAACTCATAGAGACCTAAATGCCGTTCTATCCTGTGCCAACCTTGCCGTCTCAAACACATTCATTCCCATCACTGCACTCACAGAATCAATCCATCTCGTCAAAGTTCTTCCTCTTCTGTGCTGTCCCTCCACTCTCCCAAACATAATGGCCCTCTTCAAGGACCGGTCCCTCCTTGCAACATGCCCAAAGTATGTCAAACTAAGCTTCAGAATCCTTGACTCCAAGGAGCATTCTGGCTTCACCCTCTCCAGGGCAAACCTGTTTGTTTTCCTAGCAGTCCATGGTATATTCAACTTGTCTCCAGCACCACAGCTCAAAGGCATCAATTCTCTTTCTATCATCCCTATTCACTGTCCAACTCTCTGATGCATAGCACGTAATTGCAAAGACTGTAGCCCAGATCAGGCGCACCTTAGTCTCCAGCCTGACGTCATTGCTCTTCAGTACTCTTGAGAGGTTCCTCACAGCCGACTTTCCCAATGCAATTCGTCTCCTGATTTCCTGGCTGCTGTTACCAAGAGTGTTGACTGTGGAACCAAGTAAACGGAAACTGTTAACTATCTCAATCTCTTCACCATCCATACTGATGCTGCCAATTGGCCCAGTGGTGAGAATCTTTGTTTTCTTGGTGTTGAGCTTCAATCCATATTGAAGGCTGCAGTTCTTTTTTTTTTTATTATTATTTTTTGTGCATGTACCGTATGCTGTTCTTGACCTTCTGCTGCAAGTGCTTCAGGTTCTCCTCAGTTTCAGCAAGCAGGGTTGTGTGATCCACATAATACAGGTTGTTAATGACTCTTCCACCAATCCTGATGCCACATTCCTCCTTCTACAGTCCAGTGTCTCCGATGAGCTGTTCTGCATACAGATTGAAAAGGTATGGACACAAAATACATGCCTGATGGATCCCCTTCTTGATTTTGAATCATCCAGTGTCGCCCTGCTCTGTTCTGATGACTGCTACTTGGTCCAAGTATAGGTTTCACATTAGCACAATCAGGTGTTCTGGGAATCCCATTCTTCTCAGAGTCAGCCATAGCTTGTTGTGATCCACACAGTCAAAAGCCTTTGCATAGTCAAGGAAGCACAGATAGACATTCTTCTGGTATTCTCCGCTTTGTGCCAAGATCCATCTAACATTAGCGATACTATCCCTAGTACCACGACCTCTTCTCAATCCAGCCTGCACATCTGGAAGTTCTCTGTTGACATATTGTTCCAAATGTTTTTGGATAATTTTCAGCCGAATCTTACTTGGATGAGATATCAATGATATTGTTTGATAATTTCCACACTATGTTGTTGGGTCACCTTTCTTTGGAATGGGAACAAATATCAATCACTTTTTTAGCATCAGTGTATTCACTCTCTTGGACAAATAGGAGAGCATACTGCATTGTATTTATTAGTAGGAAATATAGTTTGAAGATTCATTTGTACATAAATCTTAGCAATATATATCTCTAGCAGAGAGAAAGTGGCAAAAGAAGGAACAAAATAATATCATTTTCAAGTTTTACCATTTGAAAATCTTGCTAGAACATTATTTTGAACTCTCAACCCAGGGCTCTTTTTTGTGTGGAACATACACTAGATGTTTTATGTATGTTAATGGAGATGGTTTTTGCTTTTTTACAGATTTTTATTTTAAATTCAAAATTTGTGTTGAAAAAGGCTGATAAAGTGAATCCTATTCACTTTTTCTTTTAAAAATTGATGCCTTTGAGCTGTGGTGCTGGAGAAGAGAATTCAGTGAACCATAGACTGCTAAGAAAACAAACAGGTTCATCCTGGAGAGGGTTAAATCGGGCTGCTCCTTGGAGGCAAGGATTCCAAGACTTCTTCTGACATACTTTGGACATGTTGCAAAGAGGGACCAATCCTTGGAGAGGGCCATCATGTTTGGGAGGGTGGAGGGATAGTGCAGGAGGGGAAGACCCTCTATGAAGTGGATTGATTCAGTAACCGGGGTAATCCGTAACCGGGATGGTTGTATTGGAGACAGTGCGATTGGCATAGGACAGAGCAGAGTTTAGGGCTGTTGCACATATAGGGTCGCTATGAGTTGCATGCGACTCAATAGCACATAACAACAACAACAATGACAAAACTTCATTCTACTGTTACCTGAATTTGAAAAATAAAAATGTTAACCTTAATTTTGTAGTTTTGTTAGGTCAGTATCAACTCTACTGCTGTGTGAGAACCTGTACACTTTACCCTTCCTTTGATATGTTTAAACTTGTTTCCTTTTGTATATATGTGTGTTTCTGCATCATGTGATTGAAAATATTTTATCAAGGAAAAGAAGATATTCTGTCTAGCAAAAAAAACAAGCAAAATAAAACTAACCTGTTGCCTGTGGAGTCCACCCAAACTCCTGGCCACCCCATGGCTATGCCCTGGCCACCAGTGTGCATTTGTGCTCCTTAGGGCTTTCTTGGCTGTGATCTTTCAGATGCAGATTGCAAAGCCTTTCTTTCATTGCCCCAGTAGGTAGGTTTGAACCCCCAGTTTTAAATTACCAGGTTAGTACACATTGTGTCACCTAGGAACCATTCCATTAGATTCCAGATTTACCTACTGAAATGCCTCATTTGATTTCTTGACTGCTGCTATCATAGTGCTTTACTTGATTGCTCTTGGAAAAGTTAGTATCCCTTGAGCCACTGTAGCCACAATAGTCCACAGAACATAATAAGATGTTGGTGGACTTGGAGCAGGGCAAAAGTTGGAAAAAGCCATTTGGAGGCCTGAGGGGTTGGTTCGAGTGGGTATTTAGAAGCTCCTAGCAGATATTAAGGTTTTTATGGCCATTTTGTTCAGAATAGCTGAGAGAGGCGTTCTCAGGTGTTTTGATAGAGTAAAAGATTGCTAGAGCTGATAATTGCTGTTTGTTAAAATACAGTCCTTCCATGAGATTCCCAACTCATGAAGAAATATCATCTTTTGCATACTAAGAAAGAAATACAGGTTTTATTTGACTTTTAATTAAGGACATCTCTTAGATAAGATGCATTATTTAAAAAAACTAGGGTGTTTTTCCCCCCAAAATAATAAGCTACTTAATAATGATATGAAATATAAAACAACTATGAGGTATCATCTCACCTCAGTCAGAATAGCAGAATTTAACAGAACAGCAAGCAACAAATGCTGGCGAGGTTGTGGAGAAACTGGAACCTTTATTCACTGTTGGTGGGAGTGTAAAATGGTGCAACCATTGTGGAAGGTGGTATGGCACTTTCTCAAAAAGTTATAAATAGATACCATTTGACCCTGCAATTCCACTACTGGGAATATACCCCAAAGAGACCATAACTGACATCCAAGCAGATACATGCACACCCATGTTTATTGTGGTTTTGTTCCTGGTAGCAAGGAGTTGGAAACAACCTAAGTGCCCATTAACAAACGAATGGATAGAGAAGCTGTGGTATATTCACACAATGGAATATTACACTGCATTGAAAAACAAGGAACTCGTGCAATATTATTCAAAATGGTGACCTGGAGGACATTATGCTGAGTGAAGTATCTCAGTCAAAAAAGGACAAATACTGCATGGTGCCACTGTTGTGAAACAGGACTGACCTCGGGGTTGGGGAGAGACTGAGAAAGATGGGTTCAATAATGTGTACTGCATTGAAACAGATGAGGGAGAAAACTGTTTAAAAGGGATAAGTGATTAGGTATTATTGTCATGACAGGAGTCCAGAACGAAGGCTGCATAGTGGAGTGGAGCTGGGAAAGGGTTTGTAAAACAATGAAAGATTTTTTCTTTTACTTTTCCAAGAGGATAATGTACTAGGGGGTAGGGTTGGGAAGGGAGAAAACTGCAACAATGAATGAATGGAAATCCAGAGTCTCTGTAAATTTTCACTGAAATTAATAATAAATTTTAAAAAATGATATGAAATAGTTGACTAAAATTTATACTTTGTATTTAGGCAGAAAATATATACGGAAGATGTAAACCTTGGAGCTTCAACTTTTCCACCTCAGTATTTGTCTCCAACTGTTCATCCATATACCTGTTCTTACACTCTTGAGTCTGCACAAAATGTTTGTTCAGTGCCTGATACTCAGTATGAATATAAACAACGCAATTGTTATCAAGGTTTCCAAATGGTTAAACCCCAAACTGAACACATGTGCCCTCTCCCTCAAGAAACAAAAAGCCTAGCAAAGGTAAGTAAGTACATGCTTTGATAATTCTTGTGTCTGTGAGTTGGTTATTTTAATGTTACGATATAAAAAATTGGTAAATTTGTTCATGATAATTATCATACTCAAGCATTTCTTAGTGTTTTCATAGTTTTAAAAATTATCTTTTTGTGTGTGTGTAATTTTAATGAGAACTCAGAAAAGATTGGATTTTTAAAAATTTTATTAATTTTAATGAAAATTTACAGAGATTTTGGATTTCCATTCATTAATTGTTGTACTTTTCTCTCTGCCCACCTTCCCCCCCTAGTTTGCTCCTCTCTTTGGAAAGTAAAAGAAAAATTATTTTATTGGTATACTATCCCCTCCTCGCCCCACTGCCCTGAGTACACTCCACTATGCAACCTTAATTCTGGACTTATTATTAATTGTGTGTGCGTGTACCGTCAAATCAGATCTGACTGGTACAGGAGAATATTGCTCCTCCTCCTCTGGCAGAGCATCTGATGGATTCGAACCATGTACCTCTGGGATTGCAGTGTAGCTTCTTGCCACTAGGCCACCAGAGCTCCCCAATTCTGTACTCTTGTAACCATAATATCCTATCATATATTGCTTTTAAACTGTTCTCTCCCTCATCTGTTTCGATGCAGTATACATAATTTATCCAGTTTTTCTCAGTCTTACCCCAACCCTAATGTCAGTCTCATTCTACAACAGTGTCATCATGCAGTATTTGTCGTTTTGTGACTGAGATATTTCATTCAGCATAATGTCCTCCAGGGTCACCCATTTTGAATAATATTGCATGAGTTCCTTGTTTTTCAATGCAGCGTAATATTCCATTGTGTGAATATACCACAGGTTCTCTATCCATTCGTTTGTTGATGGACACTTAGGTTGTTTCCAAATCAGTAACATGGGTGTGCATATATCTGCATGGATTTCAGTTACGGTCTCTTTAGAGTATATTCCCAGTATTGGAATTGCTGGGTCAAATGGCATTTCTATTTGTAACTTTTTGAGAAAGCGCCACACCACTTTCCACAGTGGTTGCACCAGAAAAGTTGGGTTTTCATTCATTCATTTATGCACATTTCTTCCTTTCCTCTCTCCCCCCCTCCCCAATTTACTATGTAATACATTTCTTGTTCCAGATTATTATCATAATGCCTAATCATACATTCCTTTCATAAAGTCTTTTCTTTCATCTGTTCCAGTTCAGTGTTCATTATCTAGCCACTCTTTCTTGTTCTCCCCTCTCCTCCTATGTCAATCCTATTTTATAACAGTAGTCTCATGGAACATTTGTCTGTTTTTATGTAACCTTTCTAAAAAGGATGACTATGTGTGAATTTGCAATTTAAGATTGTTTTAAATAGTGGTAGTTATTTCATTTTAATCTTTCCTGCAGAAGAAAACATCTGATGAGTCAAAGTTTAACAGTAAAAAAGCTGGTGGAGCTCTGTCATCTGATATAAAATCAGGTAAAGATTCCCATCATATATCCATTCACACTGAAAATAGCTTAAAATCAGATAAAAATAACACCTCTAAAATTGAGATTTGGAGGTCCCTCAAACTGAACTTGTCAGACCTCATGTTATGTTCTGGAGGCCTTGTCTCCTGTTGTGTTGTGGGCTCTGGGAATCTGCCCTTAAAGTGTTAATACTTCTCTACTCAGGTACAGCTAGCAAAGGGTATATATACCAGGCAAGTGACCACAGCTTTCAAATCAGGTCCTTAAGTAAAAATAGTGTATACACCTTTGTGTTATATTTGATCATACTCATTCTTGAAATAACTTCTCTCGTGTTTTATTAAATCCAAAATCCCACTTCTGTGGAATCCGTTATTATTAAGTCTGTACTGTCCATTTTTCTCCCTTGCAACAGCCAGTAGATTCAAATTGCAAATCTTTTGGTTAGTGGCTAGATGAATTATATACTGCAGCACCAGTGTACCTTGCTATTATATTGGGACATTTTTAATAGAAGAAAGAATTTAATTGTAGTTTAAATCCCATCCCATATAATACCAAACTTGGGGCTTTGTAGTTACTCAGAGTATACTATTTTTATTTGTACCTGAGGTCACGTCTGTTTCAGGCTTGAAAATAGCTGTTCTAGCCTTTAGCTGAAAGTTAAATTCTCTGGTGTCTTTTGTTCCCCCTTGTAAGTTATTTATTCATGCAGTTTGAGCACAGATATCACCTTTTTGTGTAATAACTTAAAACTTACGGTCTAAACATTATTTCCATACATGACCAGTTCTTGGAGAGGGTTTATCATTCTTGGGAGAGTTGAGGACAGCACAAGAGAGGAGGACCCTCGATGAGATGGATTGATTCAGTAACTGGGGTAATAGGGGTAGGTGTGTCGGAGCCAGTAAGATTGGCATAGGGTAGAGCAGGGTGTAGGACTATTGTACTTAGGTTAGGCTTGCTATGAGTCGCAGGCGACTCAATGACAAATAATAGCATAACTGTATGTATATAAATATACAAAAGATGTATTTACACATACAGCTATATAAGTATATTAAAATTACCGGTGTAAGTATTAAAAATATTTGCATGTACAATTTCTGTTACTTGATTTGTAAATATTTCTTTCTTTGACTTTATTGACTCATAAGTTATCAGGGCTATGAAAGGAATGTTTGCTAGTAAATTGTAGTAACTCTGGCTTTATCATGAAATATAGGAGCTTTGTGGTAGTGCACTTTATATCATCATTCATTTTTATTTGAAGGAATAAGGTGGGAGAAACATTGTAAGTTGAATTCTGCTTATCTTAACCAGTTTGGTGGTAAAAATAAAAGAGGAGCTGGGGAATTTTATATACTTAAATGTATTGTGGTGTTGTTGATTGCCTTCAAGTCGAGCAGGACTCATAGTGACCATATGAACAAAAGGCCTGAAACCCCTCCACAACTGTTGACAGTTTTGAAAGTTCATAGAGTTTTCGGAGGCATGTTGTTTAGGAAGTGGATGCCATGTGCAAAAATTTGAATATGTCTTTTAAAAATAGTTAAAGTGTCCAGCTGCATCTTGAAGTTGAGGTAGATATCATGTACATTCAAAGTCCTCTTCATGTTTGTTTGAACTATCTTTGGGTTTTCTGCATTGTGGTCCCACCAGAGTGATTAGTCCTTCTGAGTATTCATGTTTGGTAGCATTACAGAAAAGATAACAACTCTAGCTTTATTTAGGGTACTGTTGCCCTAAATACCAAGCAACTTTTCTCTGTACAATTCAGACTAAACAGGTCAATACATGATACGTAAATTTTGACACCTGTCGTTCATATTTACAGATGGCTATCATAAACGAACAGACAAGAAATCCAGAATCATTGAAAAGTGTGGATCTGCCTCCAAATCTGGACTTGCATTTACCAGGTTGGACTTCCCTGAACTACATGGTTCAGAGAACAGTGGCGTATCAGAGATACCAAAGCAATCCACATGGGGCCCTTTGCGACCTACTACACCCAACATTTCTCTCTTAAAAGAAGTAGAAGAACCACCTGAAGTGTTATTAAAGGTCAGTTAATGTTCTTCCCCTTCTTCAGTGGTAATAGCTTAAAATCAGCCTACCAAATCTACTAGGCTGTGTTAACTCCCATGCATTCATTCTTGCATCATTAATGAAATAGAAATAATTTCTTGTTAAGTTACTGTGAGAAGTGAGGTCGGTTCATTTATGATAGTCACTTCCTTTGGTCATCATGTATTATATGCCCTTTATACCTGAATGTTGACTTAGAGGTATGTGGCTAGCACAGGAATCCTGGAGCTTTGTGTCTTCATTAAGAGAGAGAGAAATTAAAAAACTGCAATGTCAGTGGGTTCTTCACAGTTCCATAGCTCCCCACTTAAGTGTTCAGTATTTGTGGGATCCCTGGCCAGGGAGCACATGTAATCCAAAGGGTGATGTGCTAGGTGGGAATATGATATATTTGGACATGAAGTAATGTATATTTAACATATAGATTGCCTTCTTTCTTGGATTGTAATTTTTTTTAATTGTAATTTTTTTTGTCTTCCAAAAGAAACTTTCTTTCCTGATGAATAAGTAAATTTATTGCTGACTTCCTGTTTCATTAACCAACATTTCACATTTACAAAAATAGTAAGAAACCTACCATCCAACTATTTTTTGTGTAGTAACAATGTATGTTTGGTAGTAACTATCACTTAGGTGCAAGGCAAAAGTAACACTTGCTGTGAGCAGTTAAGTGCTGTTGCCTGGCCTGTGAATCTCTTTGTTTTGACAGAAAAGTAATGATAAGAGTTGTCTTTCATTTTGTGATTTGATGCCATCTTACACATTATTGTGTAATGCCAATTTCCCATAATTTACATGGTTAGGTGTTTGGAACCTGACCATGGTGACAAGGGGGTAGGTATATCTGTAAACCTCTACGGGTCACACTGAGTTAGAATTGACCGGCTTATCTCCAGTGATCTTTATAATTTTAGATTTAATGCATAGGTAGTTAATCTATCTTGATTTAGATTTTGTATATGATGTGTATTTTCTTTGAGTTTCCTGAAGATACCTATCAAGTTTTTTCAGCATCATTTGTTAAAGAGGCTTCATTTCTCCACTTGGTAGATTTCAAAGCTGTCTATAGGTGGATGGATTTATTGCTGGGTTCTCAGTTATATTCCACTAGTCTGTGTACCTTTCCTCAGTGTACAATACCAAGCTATTTTGACTACAGTGGCTGTATAGTAGGTTTTTGAGGAAAAAAAAGTAAGGCCTAAAAAAGAAAATAAAAATTAAAAAAAAAGAATTAAAAACAGCAGAAGTAAGGCCTTCTATTTTCTGTTATTCAGTATCACTTAGCTTATCCAAAGTCATCTTCCTTACCAAGTAAAGTTGGTGATTATTTTTCTACATCTCTTTGAAAAATGATGATGGGATCTGGATTGAGATAAATTTTAGGTTGCTTTTGGTAGTCTTGCTATTTTCTAATGTTAATATGTGTTCTAATCCATGAGCGTAGTGGTGTTTTTTCCCCCCATTTATTTATATATATATATATCTTTGGGTTTTTTGCAGTAGGTTTTTATGTTTTTCTTTGACTAGGTATTTTGTAACTCTGGTTAGATTAAGTTCCTCAATATTTCATCCTTTGGGTGGTGGTTATAAGTGGTTTCCTTATTGCCTTTACAAGTTCACTCCTAGCTCTTTGTTGGTGATAGTTTGTGCCTCCTCTTCCTAGCTCTGATGGAGCTCTCATGGCACAAAGGATTATGTTCTAAGGTTAATGAAAGAGCTTAGCCGTTTGAATCCACCAGACTGAGGAGAAAAATGGAGCAATCTACTTTACAACAAAGATTTACAACTTTACATCAATAGAGGCAGTCTTTCTCTGTCCTGTAAGATCTCTGTGACTTGGCACTGTCAGTTCCATAGTGATGGGTAAGTTTCGTTGGTTTTGGTTTCCTGCTTCTTGTTTTGAGGTACCATTGAATTGAGTACAACTTATAGCAACCCTCTGAACAACAGATCTGAACCCTCTCCTATCCTGTGCCATCTTCATCATCTCTGACACCCTTGAGCCTGTTGCTTCAGTCATTGTTTAAGTCTGTCTGGTTGAGAGGTTTTTGTCTCTTTCAATGACCCATGCTTTCCAACATGATATTCCTCTCCAGGAATAGCCTATATTAGCAACATGCCCAAAGTATGTAGATGAAGCTTTGTCATCTTTCCTTCCAAGGAACATTCTGACTGCACTTTCTTCAAAATATACCTATTTGGTTTTTTAACCATCCATGGGATGTTCAGCAGCTCTCTTCAATACCACAGCTCAAAGGCATCATTTCTTCTTCGCATCCCTATTTATTCAGATGGATAGCAAGTGATTACTTTGGAGAGGACCTTGACTGTAGACTTCCCAGTGCAGTCTATCTCTTGATTTCCTGACTGCTGATACAAGGCTCTTGATTGTGGATCCAAGTAAGACAAAGTTGTTGACAGTTTCTTTTTTCCATCTGTCATGATGCTTCCTATTGGTCTAGTATTGAGAATTTTTGTTTTCTGTTGAGATGTAATCCATATAGAAGGTTGTAGTCTTTGATTTTCTGCATCAAGTGCTTCAAGTCTTCCTCACTTTCAGCAAGCAAGATTGTGTCAGCATAAAGTGAGTTGTTGATGAGTCTTCTTCCGATCCTGATGCCACATCCTTCATAGAGCCAGTCCATCTTCTTGTATAATTTGCTCAGCATACAGATTGAATTTTGTGTGGAGAGAGGATAAAACTCTGGTGTATACCTTTCTTGATTTTTAAACCATACCATGTTCCCCTGCTCTGTTTATACAGCAATCTCTTGGTCTAGGTATTAGTTTCACATGAACACAATTGAGTGCTCTGGGACTCCCTTTCTTCTCAATATTAGCTATAACTTGTTATGATGCACACAGTCAAATGCCTTTGCATAGTTAGTGAAGCTCAAATAGACATTCTCCTCCTAACTCTTTGCTTTTAGTCAGGATCCATCTGACATCATTGATATCCCAGGTGCCAGAGCCTATTTTAAACCCAGCTTAAACTTCTGGCAGTTTTCTATGTACTGTTCTAGCCATTTTTTAATTCTCTTCAGCAGTATTTTGTTTGCTTGTGATATTAATGATATGTTTTATTATTTTCAATGTTTGTTGGATCACCTTTCTTGGGAATGGGAACCCATATGGATCTCTTCCAGTCACTTGGCCAGGCTACTGTCCTCCAAAGGACAGTTCCTGCTTCTAGGATGGCTTATTTTAAACCTAGATGAATAACAAAATTAATCAATCCCTTCATTAAAGTTCAGTATACTTTATTTGCCTCTTTTAAGGCTCTAGAGGCAGCTTTATATCTGTTTGACTGTGTTAAGGCTGTCACCCCCATTAAGGTTCTGTGAACTTTAGTTGCATTGTTAGCAAACAATCCAGCCACTGTCCAGTGATTTTGTTTGCACAGTTTCAGTCCATCACTGTGTCAGTCACAAGACTGCATGGTTAAATGGGTCGTATTATGTAATTCACTCTACTGGATACACAGTTTGATGAAGAGAAATGGTATTACTAAATGCTATGGAATATATAATTTTAAAACAAACAAAATGATAGATGGATAGATAGATAGATAGATAGATAGATAGATAGATAGATAGATAGACAGACAGACCTGTGTATATCTATCTATATATCTCTATCTCTATATCTATATCTATATATCTACACATAGATATATATATATGTGTAGATACACACACACAAATGTGCACTTTGGAATGCCTCTTAACTCTCCTGCTGTCCACCTGCCCATGGTCCCATAGCGTTTCCCCCACCCTAGCAATCAGAAAGGATTTCCTGGGGACATGAACCTGTCTTTAAAATCAGTATAAAAGATGTGTTTTTATCCTGATCAGAGGAGTAGAAAGTTCTTAGCAGTAGCTACTGGGTGAATCTTTCACTTGGGAAGAGTAAAATTTGTTGGAAGGAAGTAAACTTTTTATGTTGTGTACTTGGCATTTTCAGATTTTAAAATCAACATCTATTTTGTAAATCTTAAGAGTGCCAAATTATTTCAGACATTAACTGGTTTGCTTTTTAGGGTGAAATAGAGGTCAAAAATAAAAATCCATCTGAATCTATAGCTGATAATGCTGCTAACAGTTCCTCTTCATGTACAAGAGGTAAGAGTGTTAAAAAGATTTTTAAAAATAGATTATTTTTTTTAGGTTTATTTTAAATTCCAGTGCAATAGAACTATTTTTGTTTTGTAAAGTTTTTAAGGGTGGTAATGGGTTGTTGATAAACTAATAGCAATGTTAACCTAGAAAATTAAAGCAAATTAAATTCCACATCTCTGCTTAAGAATATGTTATTGTGCACTCTAGAGTGGATTCCGATTCCTAACAATCCTATATGACAAAGTAGAATTGCCTCATAAGGTTTTCAGAGTGTAATCTTTATGAAAGTAGATTTCCAGGTCTTTTCTCCCACAGAGGAGGTCATAGGTCTGATCGTGAAGTTGGCAGCTAAGTATTTCACTTTTGTGACATTAAGATTCCTTTTAAGGATGGGGGGGGGGAGAAATCGAAATGACATATTTATTCAATTATATGAATTTGTGGACTCAGAAATTATTAACTTAGTCTTATCCATACCAGTGGATCTTAATTTTTTTTTGGTTTTAGGGTCTCTTAGTTGTTCGCATTGCTCAGTGCTATCAGATCCATTCTATCTCAGAGTGGCCCTTTGTCCAACAGAATAAAACCCTGCCATTCCTATGCTAGCTTCACAGTCTCTGCTGTTCTCAAGCCTGTTGTTGATGTCACTGTCTATCTCATTGAGGGTCTTCCCCTCCTTCTCTGACTGTCCACCTTTCTAAGCACAATGTCCTTCTCCAGTGACTGACCTCTCTTGATAAAGTGCCCAGAATATGTGAGAAGAAACCTCACCATCTTTGTTTCTCAGGAACACACTGGATGCATTTCATCCAACCAAAAATTTATTTATTCTCTTTACAGCCCATTCAGTATTTGCTTGCAGTACAAGTCAAAGGCATTGGTTCTTTTTTTCCCCCCCAACTTTCGTTAGCATATGAAGCAATTGAAAATACCATGGCGAGAGTTTCTTAATACTCTTAAAGAACCCCAAAGAACTTCTGTTTGTTTGGGTTATATCAGTCAATACTTACTATATTAGAAGTTAAAGCAGAGATATTGAAAATGTTTTAATTATTGTTCTTGTTAGATGCCATCCAGTCAGCTACAATTTATAGAAACCCTGTGAACAGCAATCAGAATCTTGCCCTATTCTGCACCCATCCTCATGGTCTCTGGCATGCCATTGCTGAAGTTACTCAGCCTTTCCTAGCATGCTGTCTTTTTCCAAAAACTGACCCCTCCTGCCACTATCCCCAAACTAAGTGAGACAGAATTTCCTATAAGGAGCACTTTCTCCGAGATAGATTTTTTGTTTTTTGGGTAGACTGCAGGATGTTTAGTACTCCTTACCAGCACAGTTCCAAGGCATCAGTTCTTAATTCATCTTTCCAGTTTTCAGATGCACAGGAAGTAGTTGAAAAAAATTACTACTTGCCTCAGGTTCACCTTAGTCTTTAAACTGACATCCTTGTTCTTTAGAACTTTGGATAGGTCCCTGACAGCAGATTTTCCCCATGCAACATGTCTTTCGATTTCTTAGTTTGATTGCAGATCCAAATAAAATGAAATCTGTGTGATAACTTCAGTCTTTTGTCTGTCATAATATTGCATATTGGTCCACTGGTGAGTACTGATGCTTTCTTGATGGTGAGATGTAACCACTATTGAAGACTGTAGTCTCTGATCTTCTTTAGCAACTGCTTCAAGTCTTCCTTACTTTCTTCAAGCAAGATTGTGTCATCTTCATAATGCAGGTTGTTGATAATTCTTCTTTCAGTCCTGATGTCACATACAGTATATACATTGAAGAGGTATGGAAAAAGGATACAGCTATGATGCACAGCTTTCCCGATTTTAAACCATGCAGTGTTCCTTATGTTAGTCACTTCTTGGTCTCTGTATAGAATTTGCATAAAGACAGTTAGGCATTCTGGGATTTCTATTCTTATCAATGTTGTCCATGGTTTATTGTGATTCACACAGTCAAATGTCTTTGCCTAGTCAAGAAAACACAAGTAAATGTATTTTTGGTATTCTCTGCTTTCAGGCAAGATCCATCTAACATCATCATGGCTTGTTCTGAATCCACCTGCAGTTTTTGGAAGTTCTTGTTGATGTACTGTTAAAACCAGTTTTTAATAATCAAGATTATGATTTTGCTAAAGAGCAAGGTTTTATTTGCATGTGCTACTGATACTAATATTGTTTGATAATTTCTACACTCTGTTGGATTTCCCTTTTATTTTGGATTGGAAATAAATATGGATCTCTTCCAGTCACTTGTCCACTTAGCTGTTTTTTTCAGATTTCTTGGCGTAAGGTAATACACAGGGGTGTATTTTTTTGTTAAAACAACTCCGTTTTATTTCATCATGTCATGGCACCATATTTTTTTGCCTTTGCTTTTCGGTGTAGCTTGACCTTCTTCCATAAGTGCTATTATTAGCTCTTGATCGTATATATGCTACTTCCTGAAATGGTTCAGAGTTGACCATTTATTTTTGGTATAGAGACCGTGTAATTCTTTCCATCTTCTTTAAATGCTTTGTACATCATTTAACATTTTGCATGCCTATAGAATCCTTCATCATTGCAACTAGAGACTTCAGTTTGTTCTTTATTTCTTTCAGTTTGAAAAATGCTGAGTGTTACCTTTTTGGTTTTCTAACTCCAGCTCTTTGAACATTTTTGTTACAATAGTTTGCTTTGTCTTCTTCTCAAGCCGCCCTTTGACATTTTCTCTTCATCTTTTACTTCAGCATTTCTTCCTTTTATTTTGGCTTCTCGTTTTAGTCCTTTTTCCCCCCTTTCTTGTCTTTGTAGGAACTCTAGTAACATAGACTGTAGGAAGTTGTACTACAAACCCCAAAGTGGCATCCTTTTGTTCCAGCTCTTTGGAAGAAAGATAGGAAATTTCCTCCAGTGCAATTGACAGACTTCAAAGCTTAGCAAAGGGTAAGCTCTAAGTCACTTAGAACTCAACAGCAGTGAGCTTAGCAATGTACCCTTTGCAGAGTGACATCTTTGGACATCTCAGATTGGTAGTGACTATCTCTTCATGCTAGCCATCTATGGCGTGGTATACCATTTCTAGCCATGCACATGCATATAGGCTCTGATGCCAGCAGAAATTGTACCCCAGACTGGCTCTCCTTCCCGCTCCTCGCACCCCCCCTTATTTTTATTAAGTTACTTAAAAAGTAGCAATAACAATCCCATGTAATAGTAACAGAAATAACCAGTTTTTATTAAAAAGAACTGTTTTTTTTAAATGTTTAAAAAAAAAACCCCAAACACCACAGGAAAGCTACACCTTTTACATTTTGCAACTCTTGATAGCATCTTGTTCATTGGATATGCTTCACATGCCACACAGCCTTAGAAATACCCTTTGCTTACTAACAGGAGACAGGATGAGAAGACACAGCTTCAAACGTGTTAGAATATTGTGGAAATAGTTCCACAAAGATTCCCTGCCAGGCTCCTGGAGACTTCAGGCTACACTCAAGATTTAAAAAGTCCTATCTGCTCTATCTTAGCAAAGAGGCAGTCTATTTGGAGAGAGTTTAATAGATCCTGCCTTTTATATTTATAGTAGCATGTCCTAACAGAAGACTTTTTAAAGCTGTTTCATAATTGTTATTGGTTGGGTTGGAATTTTTTAACATTTTTAAGTTTGGTTCGTAGAAGAAATATGGAAAGTCTCTTCTTGAGTGATTTGTTACTCTTTTTGTTAAGTGCCATTGAATTGATTACAACTCATAGTAACCTTAGGAACAATGGATCTATACCTTGCCCTGTCCTGTGCCTTCCTCATCATCTTTGATATACTTGAACCCATTGTTAAAATCACTGTGTCAAGCTGTTTCGTTTGCTGACCCTTCACATTTCCAAGTATGATGTGATTTTCTAAGAACAGCCCCTTCTGACATTAACAACACGCCCAAAGTATGTGAGAGTAAATTTCACCATGACATATTTGTCCTTATGGCAAATTTCTGTACTCTTTCTCAAGTACTACAACTCAAAGGCATCAGTTCTTCTATCCACAGAACCTTCCTGCAGAATCAGAATTTCTCATCAAATTTGTAATTCTTGACCCCTGTGAAATCTTTCACTGTAGATGAGTAAGCACAAGTAAACCCATGCATACCTTCCTTTTGGGTAGTCTGCCACTGATCAAGAATTTCATGGGCACTTAAGCCTGTGTTCTAAAAAATTAATTCATTAATTACCAGTTGTCATGATAGTTTAGTGATATCAAGCCAAAATCTTTGGCTCATTAATTATTTGTTTTCTTTGTGGTTATATTTGTAAGTTGTTATAAAGTGAAACTGTTGTTTACTCACTCCAAGAGTTAAAAAACTAATTTCCACAAAAATGAACCTTAAGAATTAGAAGAATCAACATGCTTATACCAAGGAAAAAAGAAAGCTTTATTGAAGAAAGTACAATCCTTGGAGGCTAGGATGGTGAAACTTCATCTTGGACTTGCTAGTCTTTGGAAAAGGACATCAAGCTCAGAAAGGTCAGTGAAAGAGAGGAAGATCCTCAAAGATATGAATTGACACAGTGATCATGTCAGAGAAGAGGAGAATGGTGCAGGATAGGAAGGATAGGGTTTAGATGTATTGTGTATAGGGTCACTATGAGTCATAGTCTGCTCAGTGGCACGTAACACATTCTTTCTAGCTCAGTTATTGTTGTGGTTAAGGCATTCAACTGCAAACTAAAACGTTAGTGGTTTGAGCCCACTAGCCTCTCCAGGGAGAAAGTTGATGCAGTCTGCTTTCATAAAGATGTACAGCCTTATATACTTCCTAGGGTGGTTTTTTTTCTTTTCTACAGGGTTTCTGTGAATCAGAATCAACTTAATGAGTTTCATAGTTTCCAAGGAGATATGTTGAAGAGAAGCCCAAATTTAATTATGCTCTGAGTAATGCATGCTTCAGTAACTAAGGAATAGTTGTTTTACTCCTGAGATTGTTCAACCCTTTTGGTTGTCTTTGAGCAGAGTTATCTTGGACACCGATGGGTTATGTTATTCGGCAGAAATTGTCTCCAGAACTATCATCAGCCCCTAAAAATGTTACTTCCATGATAAATCTAAAGACAATTGCTTCATCAGCAGATTCTAAAACCATTAGTGTAGCATCTTCTGAAGTTTTGTCTTCTGATCCTTCCTACAACAAAGAGAAAAATACTGTTCATCCTACTAAGAAGGTATGCATCACATTTTTATTCTATTCTTCCATTGTACCACTAGATTATTTTTTTCTAAGGTCTTGCCTCTATGACTTTGTTGTACTTTGAACAATATTAGACTACTAGGCAATAAAAACAGATTATCAGGAATAAAAATAATTGCTTTTGCACATAGGAGAAATAACGTTTTTTTTTCTGGGGTCTTAAATTATCTGTGAGTCTTTCGGAATTCTTCAAAGAGCTACTGATAAAAGTTAATGCTCTTGGGTACAAGTCTACTGTCTTTTTTTTTCTTCAGTCTTAATCTGTAGACTATTCTAGAAGGGTACTAAAAGAAAAATACTTTAATTCTGTATTTTGTCATCCTTTGATGTATAATACAGTTTTGTTTAATTGTATTTTATTTGTTTATAAAAGCATTGTAGAATTGATTTTATTCTTTTTTTTTTAGTTTAAATATTTTTTGTTGATACCTAGGTTTGTTCAAGAGTCTTGATTTTGTTCTTTAATTGTGTACTGATATACTATCTTAAATTGAAATACAGTCTTATTTCTGTAGTACAATAGTTTATCTTTTTTAATATCAGGCTACTTTTTGGTATCCAGAAATGTTACAACTCATCCCTCATAAATGGTCTGTGTGTTTATGATTAATTTCTTTTTGGAAAATATATTTAAAAAAATAACAATATGGTTAGACATACTGTATTTAAAATATTCATATAGAATATTGTATTCATCACAATTTTCTAGCCCTTTCTGTGGCTGTCAGACAGTTTGGCCTGTGGAGCCTTTTGCATTCTCTCTGAGATCGTCCAAGCATTTAGTGTACAAACTGGACAATGAGCCCTCACCCAGCTTGCTTTGGTGCTGTGCTTTAACTTCCTAAACACTATGTTGTTCCATTTTCCTTAAATGAATTTAACATTTTAGCAGTTAACAGACTTTTTCACCCATAAACTTTTTTTAAAATTAAAATCATATCTGCAAGAAAAGTTTATATTAGAAAATTCCTTAAAGATTATTTAGAAGAAAAGTTGGATCTGTGGTAATGTTTATCACTCTGCTGGATTTACATTATATAAAACTGGGCTGAAATAGTAATAATAATTTATTATCCTTTAAATATCTTCGTATTAGGAGTTTTTAATTATAAAAATGGTAAGTGTAATTCTACAAGATAGTTTTGGGAAAAACAAATTTCTCCCATGCTCAAGTCTACCTCTTTGCTAAATGAAGAGTGTTAAAATTATTTTGACTTTTATTTTTTTTTCTTCAGAATTTCTCTCTTCTAAAAGCGGGTTCTTAATAAATTTTGAATGAGAAGCTGGGATAAAGTTGCCTGCCTTGTATCTTAATTTTTAGCTATTAATACATGGAATTAAAACATTGTAATGATTTCTTTCGTTTGGTTTTTTTATTGATGTTGCTGTTGTAGTCCAAAGCATTACAGGATGGCAGCCCTGAACAAAATGAAATCTCCAGAAAGAATAAGAAAAAGAAAGAAAAGTCTAAATTAAAATGTGAAGTATTGACAGTTCAGGAGCCACCAAGGATTGAAGTACGATTATATTTTTACTTCATAAGGTGTAATAAGTGTGGTTTTTCTTAGAAAGAACATGAATTTCTTGAGAGAAAATCTTCAGCATTTTCTTTATTCTTTGACCTCTTCTTCCCAAAACAGCTTGTCTGATAGCAGGCACTCAGTATAGATTTAGATAAATGAATGAATGAGTGGTCTGGAGACAAATCTACTTGTATCACAGTTTATAGTTCATGTACCATGTTACTAATACCTTAGATTCTTCTTTACCCATTTTTTTCTTACTTTAGAATGCTGATTTTGAAGGAGCTCTTTTTTTTTTAATCCAGAAATTTCATTATGATTTGATTCACTTTGAGAAATTTAGACTACTGTAGATCCATTGGTAGGCCTGGTGAGGAGAAATTCATGGGCTCATTAATCATTACTCCATGTTCTCCAAGGATGTCCTGTTTACCCAGGCTCTAGGCGAGGTTCTGGATGTGCTTCCCAAGTAATTTCTTCCTTTATTTATATGGTCACACTTGGCTATAGGGAGAAGATTTTCACAGAGTCATTGCCCAAGTGTTCAATCAGAGGTATCCCCATAAATTTAGAAGGACTCCAGGGTTCTTGGAATATCCTTTTGGGAATAACTATGTTATGTGTTTGAAGCATGATGTTTTAGACTAGCAAATAATACATGATGTTTTCTTCCTCTGTATTTCCCATATAAATTGTCCAAGGTACTTAAAATATTGATAAAATATCATATAAAAAGTTTTCTAGAAGGCATATTGTCTGTTTCTGTTCTAGCCTTCACTGACCACTAATTACATAATTAGTGAGTCTCCTGAATCTAGATGGTTTCTTTAATTATGAGCATCAGTGTAAGCTGCAGTGGTTAAGGGTCAAGTCTCTAAACTTCTCTGATGTACCAGATTTTTGCTAACACTGGTGTCTCTTTCGGGGACAAATTATGTTAAGGCTGTGATCTTTAATTTTGTAGAGTATTTAGGTTGTTTTTTATTTCCTTTGATAACTTTTGTGGAAGAATATTAAGTAGAAAAAAATAAAAGCATTGAATTTGAGAATGTTTGTATTCTCATGATAAATAAAGAACTAAAGGGATGCATGATTTACTTAGGATGCTGAAGAGTTTCCCATCCTGGCAGTTGCCTCTGCAAGGAGAAGCAAAGTAGAGTCAACAAAATTTCAGCCTATGCAGCAACCACAGGTTAGTTTGAAAACACAATTGCTTTAGACTTAGCTTTTCTTGCGAAGACTAAAGTCCTAAGGAGAACTGCTTTTCTTTTATACTAAAACAGGTGATTTTGTTTGGATTCATCCCCTCATTGAAACACTACATCCAATATGTTGAAACAACATTCCTTTTAAGCTACAATGTCCTGTGGGTTTTGTAATATATCTGTTGGTAACTTCTTTCATAGGGCAAGGTTCAGATCTGTTCATGGGGATGCACTGAATCATAGACTCGGTGGCATGTAATAATAAGAACAACATTATTTTATCTAAAAGGAGAAGGAATAAAAACTAATTATGAAAAAAAAAGTAGTGATTCTGTTTATTCAGGAATCCCAAGAATTATTTTGTGAATTAAAATAAGAGAGCCACAAAAAAATCCATCTTTAGTGAAAAATGGTTACCCAAGAGAAGAGGATTTCCCTTGCACCTCTACCCCACTTTAGACTTAGGAACAAAGTTGACTTTGGTGGAGAACTTAAGGTATTTGGGCCATTTCTTTTTCGAGATTTTTATTTTGCTTTTTTATATTTTACTTTTCAAAAGGAGGACATTTCATAAATGTGAAAAAGAAAACTCTAAACCTTTGTGGTGATTAACTTTGATACATGTGTTATAGTTTGGTCACCTTCCTTCTGCACAGAAGGTCTCTCTGCAGCCTGATGCTGTACCCTTTCCTTTAAATGTGAGCTCAGCTACTATGGCGTTATGGTCAGGGAGGAGGAGAACTTGACAGGAGAACTGAGAAATGTTAAAATGATGAGACAGCATGCCATAGGACATCTTAAGGCTACTTTCTTACACTTTTATATAAGCTCAGAATAATACAGATAATAAGTGTTTCGATTTTGTGTTTAAATTTAGTGCTACCTGCTGGTACAATTTAGACTTTGTCATAACACCATGTTTTTATAATGGTGAATGAATAGTGGAAGCTGTGAACTAACTAGTTAGCCTTGTACACAGACTTTTGTAGTCAGACATTTCATTTGCTGTTATTCAAAGTGCAGATGCAGACAGTAACAAGTGGGTTAGTAGAAACACAGTGTTTTAAAAGAAAGACATGAACAGGGAGAAAAGTGCAACAATGAATGAATGGAAATCCACAATCTCTGTAAATGTTCATTGAAATGAATAATAATAATAATAAAAAGAAATGATAAAAAAAGAAAGACATAAACAGTGTTGGTAATATTGGCATATAGTGTGGGATTTAGTTTTGTTTTTCATACTTACCTTTCAGTAAGGACATCATCCTTGGAAAAATAGTAAAAGAGAGGAAGACTGTCAACAAGATGTATTGATAAATTCACTACAACAGTGGGCTTGAGAACAACAAAGATTGTGAGCTGGCCCAGGATTGGGTGTGGTTTCAGTTCTTTTGTACATAGGATCATTGTGAGTCAGAGCTAGCTGAATGGCACCTAGCAGCAATTGTGATATTTAAAAGTTATAGGTTTTTATGGTCTCTTAAGACAGATTCCTTTGTTTTTTAAGTATATATGACTTTGTCATAAAATTAAATATTTGATTTGTAAAATATCAATAAACTTCTGATATTTGAACTTTTTAGAATAATTTCAAAAATAGTGGCAAGAAGAGTGAAATTCCATTTCAGCTGGATTTGGGCAGAATGCTCACAGCACTGGAGAAAAAGCAGAACTCTCCAAATGCAAAGCTGTCCTCCAAACCCCTGGTCTTCACAGGTAGGAGAGACCCTGTTTCCCTTCAGACATATAGCTGAAAATCTTTTTCCGTTAGACTGTCTTGTGTTCTCTTTTAATCTAGTTATTTAAATATGATTGTTAGATCTTACTAGAAGATGAAAAGTTTCCCACCTAATATGGCATGATGTTGTTATGTGCCATCGAGTCGCTTGCAACTCATAGCTACCCTATATACAGCAGCCCTAAACTCTGCCCTGTCCTGTGCCAATCACACTGTCTCCGACATACCCACCCCCATTACTCTAGTCACTGAATCAATCCACCTCATAGAGAGCCTTCCCGTCCTGCGCTGTCCCTCCACCCTACCAAGCATGATGTCCCTCTCCAAGGACTGGTCCCTCCTTACAGCATGTCCAAAGTATGTTAGATGAAGCCTCAGAATCCTTGCCTCCGAGGAGCCACCCGGTTTAACCCTCTTCAGGATGAATCTGTTTGTTTTCTTAGTGGTCCATGGTGCATTCAATACTCTTGTCCAGCACCACAGCTCAAAGGCATCAGTTCTCCTTCTATCCTCCCTAGTCATTGTCCAACTCTCTGGTGCATGACAAGTGATTGCAAAGACCATGGCCTGTATCAGATGCACCTTAGTCTCCAGAGAGACACCATTGCTCTTCAGAACTTTGGAAAGGTGCCTAACAGCAGACTTTCCCATCATAGTACATCTTTTAATTTCCTGGCTTTTAGTGATTGGAACATGGAATGTGTAGAATAGCATAATAGGCCTGAAAAATCTCATTTTCCGGTGTCCTATTTTCTGAAAGATCATTAAGATGCAGGCAAAGAAGCTGCATTTCCTAAGATGGACCTGCCTATTCATGCCTACAGTGGTGGCAGTGCCGAACCAGTAGTGACTTAGGCAGTACTTAGTTCTCTTTCCTCTAAAACATGTTTTCTTAGAGGAGAGATGGGTAAAACTGACACCAGATCATGAAAAGAAGCATGTCATCATAAGCATGTTTTTGCCTTATGAGGCATTTTATTTCTTTTTTTAAATGTAATCTATTTGTTTTTTGGTTTTTTGTGTTTTTTTAAAATGAAATCTATTTGTATAAAGAAAGAAACAGATGCCCAGAAAAATTGTTAACTAAGATTTTACTCAACATATTTGCTTAAGTTAAATTTTATCTGTTAGCTTCCCAGTATTCAGTAAAAAGGAAACTATACCAAGTTTTATGTTATTAGTTCTAGAAGGAATGAATGTATTTGTCTCTTCAGGGGAAGTGTAATTTCTCTTTAGGAGTTTACAGACACACAGAAAGGTAGAATACATTGTGCAGTGAACACCTTACACTCACCTCCTGGAGGTATAATCATTATTGGTTTTCTATGTTTACTCTTTCATACAGCTTATTTCGGTATCAGCAATATTTGGCCCATCATAGTCTGTTATAGAAATAAGGTTTTCTTTGAGTGTTTTCTACTGATGAATTTGACATTCCTATATGTTATAAAGGGTGAAAACACTCAGCTACCAGCTAAAAGATTGATGCCTTAAGAGTGTTCAGGGGCACTTGGGAAGAGACCTGATGATCTACTGCTGGAAAATGTGCTATTGAGAAGCCTTTAGTAATAGAGTTCTGCTTTGACACCCATATGGTTGCCATAGGCTAGAATCAACTTAATAACAGATGATATGACTGTTTTTCAGTTAATACAGCAGTTAGGTAGTTGTGACACATAATGTTTGCCCTACAAATTTGCAAATAGTTATATGCAACCCTTTAATAAACTTTAATAAAAAGTTACTAACTGTAGGTTTATCCATTGGACCTTTCATATTGTCAAAGTGTGGATCTGTATTTATCCTAACTGGAGTTGCTTGTGGCTTTTGGTTCTGTAGGTAAAGTTTTTCATTTGGTTTCTTCACTGGGGAGTTTGGCACTGCTACTTCATTTTGTTGAGCTTAGTGGCTGATTTTGAGAGGTTTTGTCCACCACTTTACCGTTGTGCCAGAAGGACTCTCACCAGGCATATAGTTATGACTCAGAAAGTTACATGATGGCAGTAGGCAGTTAACATGATGTTAGACAGAAACGACCTTACCTGGAGAGAGTGAGTTGTTGCAGAGTGACTGTTGCAGGAATTAGGGGAGAGAACCAGGGTCAGGGGAAGCCTGCCCATGAGGGCTGGGTCAGATGAGAGGTTATTTTTTGAGAAGAAATGATGAGAAAGTAGAGTCAGTAGCATGCTGCATGAGTAAATTTCCAAAGGTATAAGCAGTTGTGTTTTAGCTGAAAGACTAAAAGTGGTCTCAAAGGTATGGCACTTTTTGACAGTAGGACACTAAGTTTATGCTTCGATTTCTATAACATATGTGAGTGAAATGTTCTTCTGCAATAAGCAGATAATTGGACAGGCAAGATTTGATGAGCATATTTTATCAGTAAAATGCCAATTTAAAAAGATATGCTAAAAGTAAAGAAGAGTAGATAAAACATGTTGTTGTTGTTATATGCCATTGAATCGTTTGCCACTCATAGCGACCCTGTGTACAAGAGCCCTAAACGCCGTTGTATCCTGTCCCAGCCCCACCGTCTCAAACATACACAGTCCCACCTCTCCAGTCACAGAATCGATCCATTTCATTGAAGGTCTTCCTCTCCTGCACTGCCCCTCTACTCTGCCAAACATGATGTCCCTCTCCACGCACCTCCTTGCAACATGCCCAAAATATGTCAGATGCTTTGGAATCCTTGACTCCAAGGAGCATTCCAGCTTCACCTTCTCCAGGACAAACCTGTTTGTTCTCCTAGCAGACCATGGGTATATTCAACACTCTTGTCTGCACCACAGCTCAAAGGCATCAATTCTCTTTCTTTTTTTTTTTTTTTGTAATTCTCTTTCCCCCACCCCCTTTTTTTATTATTAATTTCAATGAAAATTTACAGAGACTTTGGATTTCCATTAATTCATTGTTGCACTTTTCTCCCCTTCCAACCCTCTCCACTAGTACACTACCCTCTTAGAAAAGTAAAAGAAAAATTCTTTCATTGTTTTACAGTCCCTCCTCTGAGGTCCACTCCACTATGCAGCCTTCGCTCTGGACTCCTGTCATGACAAAAATTCCTAATAATTTTTGCCTCTTCAACAATTTTCTCCCTCACCTGTTTCAATGCAATATACATTATTGAACCCATCCTTCTCAGTCTCCCCCCTAATCCCGAGGTCAGTCCTGCATTACAACAGTGGCACCATGCAGTATTTGTCCTTTTGTGACTGAGATACTTCACTCAGTGTAATGTCCACCAGGGTCACCCATTTTGAATAATATTGCATGAGTTGCTTGCTTTTCAATGCAGCATAGTATTCCATTGTGTGAATATACCACAGCTTCTTTATCCATTCGTTTGTTAATGGTCACTTAGGTTGTTTCCAGCTCCTTTGTATTGTGAACAAAGCCGCGATAAACATGAGTGTGCATATATCTGCTTGGATGTCAGTTATGGTCTCTTTGGGGTATATGCCCAGTAATGGAATTGTTGGGTTGAATGGTATCTCTATGTGCAACTTTTTGAGAAAGCACCACACCGCCTTCCACAGTGGTTGCACCATATCAGTTCTCTTTCTATCATCCCTAGTCACTGTACAACTTTCCGATGCATAGCACGTAATTGCGAAGACTATAGCCCTGATCAGGTGCACCTTAGTTTCCAGCCTGACATCATTCCTCTTCAGTACTCTTGAGAGGTCCCTCACAGCTGACTTTCCCAGTGCAATTTGTCTCCTGATTTCCTGGCTGCCGAGAGTGTTGACTGTGGAACCAAGTAGCTAAAACTGTTAACTATTTCAATGTCTTCACCATCCATCCTGATGCTGCCAATTGGCCCAGTGGTGAGAATCTTTGTTTTCTTGATGTTGAGCTTCAATCCGTATTGGAGGCTGCAGTCTTTGACCTTTTGCAGCAAGCGCTTTAGGTCCTCCTCAGTTTCAGCAAGCAGGGTTGTGTCATCCACATAATGCAGGTTGTTGATGACTCGTCCACCAATCCTGATGCCACATTCCTCCTCGTACAGCCCAGCGTCTCGGATGATCTGTTCTGCATACAGATTGAAAAGGTATGGAGACAGAATACGTCCCTGATGGACCCCCTTCTTGATTTTGAACCATCCAGTGTCTCCCTGCTCTGTTCTGATGACTGCTGCTTGGTCCAAGTATAGGTTTCTCATTAGCACAATCAAATGTTCTGTGATTCCAATTCTTTTCAGAGTCATCCACAGCTTGTTGTGATCCACACAGTCAAAAGCCTTTTTGCATAGTCATTGAAGCACAGATAGACATTCTTCTGGTATTCTCTGCTTCCTGCCAAGCCCCATCTAACATTAGCTATACTATCCCTAGTATCACGACCTCTTCTAAATCCAGCCTGCACATCTGGCAGTTCTCTGTTGACATATTGTTCCAAATGTTTTTGGATAATTTTCAGCAGAATCTTGCTTGCATGTGATATTAACGATATTGTTTGATAATTTCCTCACTCTGTTGGGTCACCTTTCTTTGGAATGGGAACAAATACCGATCTTTTCCAGTAAGTCGGCCAGCTGGCTTTCCTCCAGATTTCTTGGCACAACTTAGTGAGCACAACCAGGGCAACGTCTGTTTGTTGAAATAAATCAGTTGGTGTGTTGTCAACTCCTGGAGACTTGTTTTTGCCAATTCCTTCAGAGCAACTTGAACTTCCCTCCTTCATCACTGTAGGCTCTTGCTCATATGTTATTTCATGAAATTCTGTGTCAGCCAATTCCTTCTGATACAGTGACTTTGTGTACTCCTTCCATCTTCTTTTGATACTTCCTGGATCATTTAACATTCTACCCAAAGTATCTTTAAGTATTGCCACCTGTGGCTTGAATTTGTTTTTTAAATCCTTCAGCTTAAGAAACACTGAGCGAGTTCGGCCCCTTTGATTTTCTGACTCCAGCTCTTTGCACATTTCATTATAGTATCTTGCTTTGTTGTCCCGAGCTGCCTTTTGAAATTTTCTGTTCAGCTCTTTGATTTCTTGGTTTCTTCCTTTAGCTTTGGGGAAATATTGTTGGTTGTTAAAAGTTGAATAATGAATTCATAGGGGTTTATTGTAACATTCTTCTTATGTGTGTACTTGGAAATTTTCCTAGTAAACAGTTTCCTAAGAAAGTATACCAAGTTAAAGTCTTTCTTTGAAACTGTTAAATAAGGTGGGAAGTAGACCAAGAAAGGAAGATTAATTTGAACTATCCAGTGATAATTATAGTTCATTGCTTATGTAGTGCTATTGCCATCATGAACATGATAGAATTTGTACATCTAGAAAATTACTGAATGAACTAGAAATATTATTAGACTGTTCTAAGGGTCTAAAGGGTAGCTAGATAGACTATATACAAACATAAATCAGTTTATTTTTATCAAGGCAATGCTCAGTTGAAAATGGTGGCAAGAGACTTATACCTGATAGCAGTTATGTGCCCTCCCAATCACTGCTGTTAACTTAGTTTCCACTTTTAACCTTGCATTGGTTTTTTCAGACTCTGTGTCTCAGGAGATTGCAGGAATCTCTGAAATAATTTGGCAGAATATGAGTGAGGTGGGTCCCATGGGGCCACACCTTCAGTGGTATGAAGCATAGGCTCCACAGCTGGACCAGCACTTATGTTGCATCGTGCACACTTTGTTTCAGTTGGTGCCGTGCCAGTCCTTTCCAAAGATGCATCAGCTGGCATGAAGAACCACCACTTGAACCAGGCACAGGGTCCGCACAACCCCTTGGATTCCAGTGCCCCACTGCAGAAGAAGGGAAAGCAGAGGGAGACTCCCAAGGCCAAGAAGCCAACCTCCCTAAAGAAGGTGTGTGAGAAACAACACCACTGGTTGTTGAAATATTATATAATCATTTACTGCTTATAGGGCTTGGGTTTCTAGATTTTAAGGCTTGTTGTTGTTGATTGCCTGATTGTTGTTGTTGATTGCATGATTCCTAGCAACTCTATGAACAAAAGGCCTGAAGGCCTTCTACAACTATCGACATTTATCAAAGTTCATAGAGTTTCCGGAGGCATGTTGTTTAGGAAGTGGATGCCACTCCTGCTTCCAATTAAGGCTTATATTATTTGACTATTACTCTATCAAGAAGTGTTAATAATTTTCTAATAAAACAGTCATTAACTTGATGAAGCATATGAAACAGGAATTGCTTGAGAGGGAAAATTTTGGTTTTTTTTTTACTCTAAGTGACATCAAGAAGTATATAGTCCTCATTATGTCATTATCTTGCTCTAGATGATGATCTGTCTCATGTTCAGATTCACTAGGAATTCTCCCTGTCCCTCTTGTGTTGGGCCTGTGGGCTATATCTCTCCCTTTAAGCTGTAGTGTCTATGGTAGGTCTCAGTCTAGAGGACAGGGTCACATAGAGGGACTGTTTTACATCAAAATTGGCATTTGAGTCCTGCTTGTACAGCATCCACCCTGTCTAGGGTGGGGATAGGGTAGATTCCTACACTAATGGTCAGAGGTTAGGCAGGTCTGGGACACAGACCTAACAACAAGTTGAAGTTGAACAGTCTGTTTTGCAGGAAGATGTATCTTTTTAGTACAAGTGTTTAGGTATTTAATAATTTAAAAAATTTTTTTTCTTTTAATTGTGATTTGAGTGAAAATTAATAATTTTTCTTTTTAAAAGATTATTTTGAAGGAACGGCAGGAAAGAAAACAGCAGCGTCTCCAAGAAAATGCTGCAAATGATGTACAAGAGGTAGCGAGTACTGGTGAACACCAGCCCGTCCTTCCGGCTAACTCCTCAGGTACCAGTTCCTGGTTTCTTTTTTCTTAGAGACCCCATGAGATGGGAGATGCCATGCAGAAATGAGATGGGTTTATAGCACATTGTCTGCAACTTTGCCAACATTTTCCCATTTTTTTATGGTAAAAAAGGAAATCAGGGCTATACTCAGGGACGTACAAAAAGGTGTAGATACCTAGTTTTCCAAGAAAGCATCCCTGAATGACGAGTAAGCTTCCTGGCACTGCTGTCTCTGAGGGACAGAGATGATGAATTTGCCAAGCATGACTTGTCTGGGTGGCACTAGATTTCCCCATAAATTGGACTAACCATGAAAATTAACATCACTTATAGCTGCTTAGCCAGAACTATACCGAATAGAGATCCTAAGAAAGAAAAGATATTTTAAGGTAAACTTGATTGAAATATACATTCAAAAAAGTTGAAAGTATACAGCTTGAAGACTTTTCACAAAGTGAACACAAACTCTTATCAGGAAATAGAAACTAGAAACACTGCTGCTGTCCCTCTAGTCATAGACCTTCCCACTGCCCACCAAAAGGCATTGCCGCACTGACTATACCTCTGTGGCTGCATCTTTACAGTGGAGTCACACGGTGTGTGTATGTTCCTATCCCTGCTTCTTTCTTTGCACATAATAGTTGAATTTGTCCATCTTTGGCCACACCATTGTACTTTATTATCATCAATGAAAAATCATTGCTCTTGCCTGAACAGGTTTGTTAAAGGGCATTGAGGGAATGTTTGCTTTAGAGCTTTTATAAGTTGGGCTGCTATGGACATGATTGTGTTTGTTTTGTTGGAGAACATGAGCAATTGCTCCTGTTTGGTATTTACTTAAGGGTGGAATCGCAGGACAGCTTTAATAGAATCTGCCGGATAGATTTTTACCAGTTACATGGAAGCCAACAAAGAGTAGATAATATTGTGGTTGCTCCACATCGTTGCCAGCCTGTGTGACATGTTTGTCCCTCTGGTAAGTGTAGTGGACATTGCTTGGCTCCTTCACTGAGTGATCTGCTACCTTCATTTACATAGTGGTAATCTGTGAAAGTAATTTGGGAATCTTAAGTACTTGCTAAATCATATATGGTGTGTTAGAATAAACTCAATTTTGAGGGTCTCATATATGAGATGTAAGTTCACCTCTTACCTAAGGATTATTTGATCAAGAAATAATCTCAAAAAAAATTAAAACCAAAAAGCTAGATTTTAAAACTTCCTGGTAAGAAATTCATTAGGTTAAATTCCAAAATTGAATAATAAATTTGAGTGTTGGTGGGAGTGCCTCGCAGGCAGCCAGCCAGCCAGACCAAAAGGCTGTTGTGCTATCTTTGTTTATTTTTCCAGTTTCTCATGTCATTGTTCTTCTAGTTTCATTATCTTTGTAAAAGCCCTCATCATATGTGTTTGTTAACATGGCATGTGTGCGCACTTTGGGGTTGTATACTTCTTGAGCAGGTGCTATTGGGAATGACATACCAATAGGTCCATTTGCATCTGTGCACTGTATTCTATAGGCACTCACTATGTGTTGACTTCGTTGCTTTGTACATCTCCAGGGGAAACAGAAGGATCAGTCCTCTCCACTTTTACAGAAGAAAGTGAGTTGGAAGAGCAACTCAGAACTGAGCCCCGTAGTGACACAGAAGCTTGCCATCTTGGTCTCGACTCCATCAGCTTCCCTAAGATCCACAGCCGAAGATTCAGGGAGTAAGTAAACTTTGGTTCCTATACCCTTGCTCCACTATTAACTTGAAGATGGAATTGTATGCTAGTTAATCTTCTTTGGCAGTTATTTCTATACTCTTTGGATCCACAACACTATAAAACTATATAGTTGAGCCACACTATCTTTTCATCCTATGGTATAAAGTTTTAAAATATGTTTTTTGTTTACTTCTGTTTTATTAACTATGTAAAGGCACTTGACTGTATGAATCCAAGAAGTTATGGCTAACATTGAAAAGAAAGAGAATCCCAAAATATTTCATTGTGCTAATGCAAAACTTTGCTGTTGTCAAAACAGAATTAAGGGAATACAAGAAAACAAAGATTCTCACCACTGGGCTAATAAGATAGATGGAGAAGAGAGATTGTCAACAGTTTCACTTTGTTCAAGTCTGTAATCAACACTTTTGGGACCAGCAGCCAGGAAATAAAAAGACAAATTGGATTGGGAAAATCTGCTGTCAGGGACTTCTCCAGAGTGCAGAAATGCAAGGATGTCATTCTAAAGATTATGGGGCACCTGATCCAGGCCATGGTCTTCACAGTTACTTGCCATGCAGCGGAAAAACTGGACAGTGGCTGAGGATGATAGAAGAAGAATTTATGCCTTTGAGTTGTGGTGCTAGAGAAGAGCGTTGAACATACCATGGACTGCCAAAAGAAAAAAATAAGTCTGTTCTGGAGAGGGTTAAACCAAGGTGCTCTCTGGAGGCAAGGGTTTTGAAGCTCCATCTCACATACTTTGGGCGTGTTCTCAGGAGGGACCAATCCTTAAGAGAAGGACATAATGCATAAGGGTGGAGGAACAACACAAGAGAGAAAGACCCTGGATGAGATGGATTGACACAATAACTAGAGTAATAGGGGCATGTGTGTTAGAGACAGTGAGATTGGCTCAGAATAGGACAGAGTACTGAGCTGTTGTGCATAGGGTTGCTTTGAATTGTAGGCAACTTGACAGCATATGATTTAAGGGGAGCTCTGGTATCCTGGAGTCAAGAAGCTGCACTGCAATCCTAAAGGCATGTAGTTTGGATCCACTAGCTATTCCATGGGAGAAAGATGGGCAGTCTCCTCCCAAGTGGTTAAACTTCCTCTGAAAACCCAGGGTTAGCTGTGGGTCAGTTCCGACTTGATGGTACATAACAATAGCACAACATGGTTTAAAAGGAGAAAAGGTAACAATAATCTGGAACAAGAGGTGCACTGCAAAGTGGGCTGTAGAGAGAAGAAGGGAAGAAAATGTACAACAATGAATGAATAAAAATTTAAAGAAAAGACTTCTTCAGCTGTTACCCAAAAAAAAGGAAAGATGTGTATCAGTATTGTGGCCTTTCTCCTGTTGCTGAGCAAATAATTTGAGAAGCTGTACTATATATGAAGAAGAATGTGGCATCAGTTTTGGAGGAAGACTCATCATGTTAAGCCTTACTTATTGAAGCATACTTAAAATACTTGCTGCAGAAGATCAAAACCAATAGACTTAAATAACATCTCAACATCAAGAAAAAATCCTCACCACTAAGGAAAAAATTCCTCACCACTGGACCAATAGGTAGCATCATGAAAGATGGAGAAAAGATTGATGTTGTCACCATTTAATTTTACTTGGATCCACAGTCAACACATATGGTAATAGCACTCAAGATTTCAGAAGATAGTGCATTCAGGAAATCATCTCGCAGGGACCTGTCCAAAGTGCTAGAGGGCAAGAATGTAATTTTAAAGACTAAGGTGCATCTGAGTCAAACCATGGTCTTTTACTTCCTATGCATCTGAAAGTAGAACAATGAATAAGGATAACAGAAGGAAAAAGAATTGAAACCTTTGAATTATGGTGTTGGAGAAGAGTACTGGCAATCCTATGTACTGCCAAACAAATAAGCAAGTCTTTCTTGGAAGAAGTGCAAACAGCGTGCTCCTTAGAGACAAGGATGATAAAACTTTGTATTACATACTTTAGGCATATTGTCATGAGGGACCAGTCTTTGGAAAAAGGATATCATACTGGGAAAGGTAGAAGGTCAGCAAAAGATAGGAAGACTCTCAATAAGATGGACTGACACAATGAGTGTAATAATGGGCTGGAGCATATCAGAAATGGCATGGATGGCTCCCAATAGGGCATGGTTCAGATCTGTTGTTTATAGGGTCTCTGTGAGATGTAGAGCAAGGAAGTACTGCATGGTTCTAAGTTGGTAAGGGTGTACACCCCTTAAGGATGTGTCCTATCTGCATATCTTTTCAATCTATATGTGGAACAGATTATTGGGGAGGCTGGGCTCTATGAAGAGAAATGTGACATCAGGATTGGAGGTATACTCATCAACAGTCTGCATTATGCGTATGATACAACCCTGCTTGCTGAAATTGAGAGGACCTGAAGCACTTGGTGCAGAAGAAAACAAAAGATTCTCACCACTGGGCGAATTGGCGGCATCATGATGGATGGTGAAGAGATTGAGATTGTCATTAGCTTCAGTTTGCTTGGCTCCACCATCAACACTCTTGGTACCAGCAGCCAGGAAATTAAAAAATGAATTGCATTGGGAAAGTCTGCTGTCAGAGACCTCTCCAAAGTACTAAAGACCAACAATATCAGTCTGGAGACTAGAGTTTGCCTGATACAGGCCATGGTCTTTGCAGTTACTTGCTATGCATCATAAAGCTTGACAGTGACTAGGGATGATAGAAGAATTGTTGCCTTTGAGCTGTGGTGCTAGAGAAGAGTATAGAATATACCATGGACTGCTAGGAGAATGAACAAGTTTGTCCTGAAGAGGGTGAAGCCAGGCTGCTCCTTTGAGGCAAGGATTCTGAAGCTTCATCTGACATACTTTGGTCGTGTTGCAAGGCAGGATCAGTCCTTGGAGAGGGACATCATGCTTGGGAGGGTGGAGGAACAGTGCAAGAGAGGAAGACCCTCAATGAGATGGATTAATTCACTGACTGGGGTAATGGGGTTAGGTGCATCAAAGACAATATGATTGGCATAGGATAGAGCAGGGTTTAAGGCTATTGTACATAGGGTCATTTTGAGTCATGGGCAACTCAACAGCACATAGCCACAACAATGAGATGTGGTCAGCTCAGTGACACCTAACAATAACAGCAATGTTGAAAGTGCCTAAGTATCAAATGTAACACTTTTACAAGAATAGCAGCCTAGTTATTGTATCTGCTCTAATGAAAATTAGAAAATTCTATTTTATTTGTCATGGATAGAAGAGATGCTCTTGAATCAATGATTGAGCATGGATGAACTGAAGGTGACATTTGGGCTTCCCTTGGTGTTGCTTCTCTATAATTTCTTAGCAGATGATCATGTCAACTCTCTTCAGGAGGTTTTACCCACTTTTCTTCCAGGGCAGACTTCTGTAGGTTTGTGTTTTTGGTGAGGAGTATCAGAGCTGCTCTTAGAGGGACTGGTATGGCACAGCATAATGAAGAACTAGGACACAGAGGGTCCTTGTAGTTGGGAGTCTGGGGATGCCTCAGTATCTCTCATAAAATCAGATCAGTCGGAAATCTCACATTTTTTTTTAGCAGTACTCATCAAAATGTGGTTTTCTGAAGAGGACTTTCTCACTATTCCTCACATCTATAATATTTATGAGAATAGTGCTGGGATGGTAGAGTCAGTTGACATGCTGATAGTATTTGATACTTCTTTCAGTTACTGCAGCCAGATGCTTAGTAAAGAAGTTGATGCTTGTGTTACGGATCTCCTAAAAGAGTTGGTGCGTTTCCAAGACCGTATGTACCAGAAAGATCCCATCAAGGCTAAGACCAAACGCAGGCTCGTGTTGGGGTTGAGAGAAGTTCTCAAACACCTAAAGCTCAAGAAGTTGAAATGTGTCATCATTTCTCCCAACTGTGAGAAGATACAATCCAAAGGTAAGAACAGCTGTGCTTTGGACTGGGAGTCTCTCACCAAAATCCTAGTACCTTCCGTCAGCTTACACCACAGGCCCATCTGACTGCTAGCAGGTGAGACCTATGCCCTAGGATTAAGCTATGCATATTGCTGGTTTTAATTACTAATTATTGTTTTTGAAGTCCCATTTGGCCACCAAACACCTCATCTTTATCAGGCAGACTTATGTGTCTTGCATACAGTATCCTCTTCCTGCTGAGGAAAGCCTCTTGCAACAGAAGAAGAAATACCTTCTGCATGTTGAATACTAGAGTCTCCCTGGTGAGCTGGAAATGGTCACTGGTCACTTGGACCATGGAGTTTTATCCCTGGATGCCAAACATTATCTAGATAGGGCCTCTGTCATTTTTAAATTTAGTCATTCAGTCTGTGATTAACTAACCTGTCTATTAGTTAAAGATACAGGTTTGTCTAAAGATCTTGCCGTCTGAGGTTTACTTTGTCTTTTGGGCTGATTTCCTGAGCAAAGCAGCTGGCAGTGAACTCCTTGTCTCTCACATCTCATGTCCTTTCTCCTAAAGTTCTGTGTCATCTTGCTTCCTTAGAGGACTTGCTTATCCATTTTATTTCCACTTCAGTTTAAGTACTACAGAAATTGATGTTAGGGGCAAAATTCCACCTCTCATTAATATCTTCATCTGGGCTAAGTTAAACATCCGACATGATTTGTAGAGGCCCATGGGAACAGCAACAATAACAAAAAGATAAACCATCCGCATGAAAAAGAATTTCACTTCTTTGAATGACCACGGAAAAAGTCAAGAGTACCTTGCCTGCCCTGGTTCCATTCCTTTCTGCTGTAATAGCAAAGTAGGCTAGAATCGCATTTTCATTCCAAATCTTGATGCTGTGCCCTTACTGATGATCTTTGCCAGTTGCCATTTCACATCTGAAGAGTGAGCTTTATTAACTTGTCAAGAGCACCTAGGAGCTAGCCTCCAGTAGCAGCCGGACCGTCTCTTTCCCAGGCTAGGGGGGGGTCTCGCCTCTGTTCATGATAAAGTTGATCAGAATGTAACAGAAAGGGGACTCGTCTTGCTTGTGTGAATATAGATTTGATACAGTCCCCAGGCACCTAGTGTACAAAGGGTGGACATCAGAACTGCAAAGGTATCCAAAATCATTGGAGAAACCAGGTTACACAAATGTTTCCTGGGTCATTTTTAAATTTCTATAGAATCTTTTATTCCTGTTAATTTTCATTCCTGAGAACTTGTAATAAAATAATTGTTTTGAAAAATCCTTTTTTATAGCAACTGCTTTACTTTATAAATGGATGACTTTTCTCTTTGAAGATTTCAGTGATGCTAAGCTTTCTCCTCCCTGCACAGCCTCCATCTCTCCAAATTGTTGTTACTCTGTGTATTTCTTGTGTTGGAGTATTTCCTCAGACGTCCAGGGGCCCCTTGGTTGTCTGCCAATTTTTTTTCTTTTTTTTACTTTAAACATTCTTTAATTATGTCTTATGCAAGAAATCTGTGAGGATAAACTCCATTGGTGAGGGAGAATAAAGATTGTAGGTAGGAGCTTTATCAGCTGAGGAATGGCTCTGATTTTTGACAAAATTTGGGAGTCCACAGTTTTCTGATCAACCTTGCAGTGCTCTGTATTTTCATATTTCTCCTTCACCCTCCTGGTGGCAGGGCTTCTGCAGCTGCTTCTTCTTTAAGGAATCTTCAGTGAGATGTTTTGAGACTTTCACGCCACTGATGTCAAGTTTAGTGGAGGTGGCAATAACAGATTTCTGGTCTCTTCTCTGCAGAGGAACTCAATTGAGGGTCAGAGGCTTGATCACAAGGAGCAAGCCACTATCCAGCTGCTTCAGGTAAACCACTCTTGCCCTTGTGGCATGCTGTGAGGATTATCAGAACAGTCCTGGGTGTGATGCTAGCATGTAGTCTCCTCACATGCTGACTGAAGGGGTTTTTGCCATGGCTCAGCAGCTTCCAAGGCATGTCTTCAGTAGGATAATACCTAGGCATTTTGTGACGTTTCACCATTTGGGTACCACCATTTTTATCAGCACCAGCTGATTTCGTGACCGTATTAAGAACCTTCTCCTTTTCAGCCCTCGATTTAGTGGCTGAGTACTTCCTCTCGTATGTGGCCTTCCTAGAATACATGGCTGATCTGGAATATCTGCTGATTCCTCAGACTAGGACAGGATTGTGGCTGCAGTGGGGCTTCCCCTTCTTGGGAGTTTAGCCCCCCTTGGGCTTGGCCTTTTTAACTTTGCCACTAGCATCTGCCTCCTTTTTTTTCAATCTTTTTTTCTAGAATTTATTAAATTGACATTTTAATGAAAATTTATAGAGAACTTGGATTTCCGCATTTTCCTCCATGCGCACACCACCCCCATTTGCTTTTTTTCTTTGAAAAAAAAATTCTTTCATTGTTGTACAATCTACACCACCACCACCCCAGTCCACTTTACTATGCAGCTCTTATTCTGGACTGTTGTCATGCAAATAATATCTAATCATATATTCCTTTTAAGCAGTTCTATTCCTCATCTGTTTCAATGCAGTGTACATTATTTATCCTCTCTTAGTTTCCCCTAACCCCCAATTTCAGTCCTATTTTTTAACAGTGGCATTATGAAGTATTTGTCAGCATAATGTCCTCCAAGGTCACCCATTTTGTATAATATTTCATGGGTTCCTTGTTTTTCAATACTGCATAGTATTCCATTGTGTGAATATACCATGGCTTCTCTATCCTGCATCTACCTTCTTGGCTTCAGGCTTGACCTCAGACTTCTTCTTTGTGTCTGGCTTTTCACCTGCCATCTTGCAAGATGGGGGGGAAAAGCTGTCTGCTAATTTTCATTGACTACAGAACACCTGTTCCATGGCTGCAATGATGGTGGTAATGAGCCTAAGCACTGCAGATTACAGTGAGGCCCAAGGTCAGGCAGGACTTTGTTCTGTTATGTCTAGTTTCGCTGTGATTCAGAGTCAGCCTGAAGTCCTGACAGCCATAGCAGAAGAAGGGATTTATGGAGCCATGGTGGCCCAGGGCTTAGAAACTTGGATGCTAGCCAGAAAAAGTAGTAATTCAAGCTTACCAACTGTTTCAAGGATGAAAGATGTAGTGGTCTACTTTTATAAAGATTGACAGTTTTTGGAAGCCCTGTAAGGGCATTTCTGTCCTATAGGATTCCTAGAATCAGAACCAACCCCCTAGGCTACCCACCCCCAATCTTCATACTCATTTAATGGTTTTATACAGTATTTGTCCTCATGGGACTGAGTTAGTTCACTCAGCATAATGCTCTCCAGTCCCTCCCAAGTTAGGTGGCGCTTTCCAAAATCATTGTTCCTACATGCTGCGTAGTATTCCATTGTGTAAATTTACCACAGTTTCTCAGTCCTTTCTATTGTGATTGGACATTTGGACTGTTTCCACGTTCTTGCGATGGTGAATAATGCTACTATGAACATCGGTTTACAGGTCTCTATTTATGCATGCCTCAGTTTTCATTCTCTTGGGGTATATTCCAAGCAGTGGAATAGCTGGATCATAAAGAATTTCTGTGTTCAGCTTTCTGAGGAAACACCAAACTGCCTTCCAGGATGGTTGTACCATTCTACAATCCCTCCACCAGTATATAAGAGTTCTTATCTGGCCACATCTTCTTCAACAAGCGTTATTTGCTGTCCTGTTAAACTTTGCCACTGCTACTGGAGTGAGATGGTATCTCATTGTGGTTTTGATTTGCATCTGCTTTATTGCCAGTGATTTTGAGCATTTCTTCTTGTATCTGTTGGCCATCCAAATATCTTCCTCTGTGAAAACTCTTTCCATGTTGTGTAGTACTTTATTAGAGAGCTCTAGTGGCTTAGTGGTAAAGAGTTGTGCTATACTAAAACAAAAATACATGGTTTGAATCCACCTGCTGGAGGGTCTGCTGTGTATGGGTTGGTTCCAACTCAGCAGCACAAAGTAATAATAAGTACTTTATTTTCAGAATGTGCTATATTTCTTGTTTTTATTTTATTTATTTATTTTTTTAATGTTTAAGAAAACCTAACCAGCTGTTGCCAAATCAGTTCTGATGTATGGTGGCCCCATTTTTGTCAGAATACAATTGTACTCCATAGTGTGTTAAGTGACTGCCTTTTCAATAGATAGACAGGCTTTCTTTCCGGGAAACTTCTGCATGAACTTACACCTTTGGTCTTTCATTTAGCAGCTGAATGCTAATCATCTGTGCCATTCTTTTCATTTTTAAGGAGAAAGAATATTTTGCCCTAAAATGCAAAGTAAAAATCCATTCAGGGTCCAACATTGTTTATTGGAACACTCTTTCCTGATTTGAAAAACTCTTTGTGTCAGAAACTCACATTTCATGCAGGGTCCTGGATACTTTGTTCTCTTGATTTGCATCACCTATGCGGTTTTCATGGCTGAGTCCATAGGGAGTTGTGCTGCTAACCCAAAGGCCAAGCTTCTCTGATTATTTGAATCCTTATGGGTAGTTTCTTCCTGTGCTGTTTACAATCTTGGAAGCCCACTGGAAGGTCAGCTTGATGTTTCCAATTCTACAATGATGAGTTTAATGAATTTTGTTTAAATTGAAGTAACTTAATAGCAGATTTTAATACTGTTTCATGCTAGCCTAATATCAATGTCCACGGAATATTCTGGCTGCTTTTGCTTGTATATTGTTTTCAAGGTTTTTATTTACCAGAAAAGAAAAGAAAAATCTTGTTTGCAGTGAGCCATGTCATTTTGAAGTTTTAGAGTTTTATAGACTATAAACACCTACATAATTTTAGATCACAGTATCTAAGAGCAATCTTTTCATGTGTCCAGACTCTGTTGTATTCTTTAATAGCATGTTGAAGTTTCTCTCTATATAGTTCAATCTTTCATGTTTTTTGGCGAAGTTATTTTTCTCCATGCAGTTTGCCGTTGTAAATGCAATCATTTCTTCCATTACTCATTTCAATTGCTTGTTGACAGAATGTGTAAATCCTTTTTTTTTAACATGATTACTGTGCACAGATGTACTTAATTCTCTTTTTTGGGAATAATTCTTAGGTGATTTGTTTGGATTTTTTGGGACTGGTCTTGTGGATCAGAAGCTGTGTCAAGGTGCAATAGGGTAGTGCTACCCTTTGTCTTGTTACAGTGGACAGACATACAAGAGCTAGAACCCTGCCAGCCTTTTTCAAAGAGTTGTGTGGGACAAATGACACCACTTCACTGTGCCTCTGGATTCTTATCTATCAGTGACAACTAAAAGCATCAACCTTATAGGATTTTCATGAGAACTACATTTAGGTCCATCCTTGACTTATGATACTAAGACTCAACCCCTTGCCATCAAATTGATGCTATTTTATAGTGACCATATAGAACAGACTAGAACAACCTCATTGGAATTTCTAAGACTATAAATCTTTGTGGGAGCAGACTTCCATGGCTTTTCACCAGTGAGCATCTAGAGGGTTCAAAGTGCTGACAATTGAGTTGCATTAAGCTTTTAACCACGAAGCCACAAGGATTCAGCACATAACAAGTACTTGGTAAACATTAGCTAACACTAAGTAACACTAGTAACACTACGCATACACTGGAATGGGAAGGTTGATGCATTTTATCACCTTAAGGAAATAAGTGTTTGGGGAAATGATTTCCTTAAAAGCCCGTAATGAAGTATTTGCCTGCAGTGGGTTGGCTTTTTCCTTTGGTGAAATCTGGCACAGGCTGCCAAAAGAGTGTGAACTCTCTGCCACGAGTATGGTGCATCCCCTGTAATGTATTTTCTTTACTGTTTTCCCTTTTCTTTAACGTAGGTGGGCTGGATGACACTTTGCACACTATTATCGATTATGCCTGTGAGCAGAATATTCCATTTGTGTTTGCACTCAACCGGAGAGCTCTGGGGCGCAGTCTGAACAAAGCTGTTCCTGTCAGTGTGGTGGGAATATTCAGCTATGATGGAGCCCAGGTAAGTTGTGGCAAAAACTTTAATGGGAGAGAGCCAAAAAAGAGTACAGTTAGCCTCTGCTTACTCAGCACATGCCTGGAACCTTCACTGACGTGGCATTGAGGAGAGGAAACCACAGAGACAGAGTTTCCTGTGTTCATTGTCATAATTCTTTCCCATCAAATCAGAACCAACTCAAACCTGACCCTCTGTTGGGTTTCTGTGGCAGTAAATTGCATTGGAAGAAATTACCCATCTTTCTCAGAGCTTCTACCTCCTACCTCTAGTGAGGCACAGCTTTTGGGTTAGCAGTGAAACTCCCTACAGACTACATCACAACAGTCTTTTTACATATTGCTGGCCTGGGAATGCTGAGCAGGCTCTGACTCTGCTCCCTTAGCCCAGGCAGCTACCAGTCTGCTCCTGATGGTGGAGTAGTCACCCTGACCTCACCTCAGTCCTGGCTATGCAAGCTCATGGAGTAATGTGATGTCCAGTATGGCTTTGCTTTCTGAGAGCACTACTGTCAAGTTTTAGAAGCTGGTTTCCTCACGGGTGATCTTGGAGCATCACATATGTGCTATCTTCTATCTAAGGATCAGTTTCACAAGATGGTCAAGCTGACGATGGCAGCCCGGCAGCAGTACAAGACCATGCTAGAAAATGTGTGTCAGGAGGTGGATCAAGAGCCTGGGGCCCACAGCCCACCTATGGGGTGTCCAGCAGCCCCTGAGAAAGAGGAACCACATTATAGTGAGTACTCTGGCAGTGGGTGCAGGTGCAGGAGGAGTAGGGGTGGCCTGGGACACAAAGGAGAACAATTCCCACAAGGTCAGCCATGACTTCCATCTCCTGCACTGACTTCTTTTAATTCCAATGCCAATCATACTGCTCTCTTGTTATGTACCATTAAGTTGGAATGGACTCAAAGCTTACCCTTCAGGTTTCCAGAGGCTGTAAGTCACATGGGAGGAGACTGCCTTTCTCCCACAGAGCAGCTGGTAGATTTGAACTGCATGCTTTTGAGTTGGCAGTGCAACTCTTTACCTCTTGGCCACCAGAGCACCCTACTGTTACTGTCATTGTTGTTGTGTACCATCTAGTCAGAACTAACCCATAGCTGACCCTTTGCTAGATTTTCAGAGATAGTGAATGGGAGAAGATGTTCTTCTACTGAACCCAAAATCCATTTTAGTGACCACTTAGATCTCACAGAATCATAATCTCAGTTACAGGGTTTATTAGTGAAGTTAATAGGTTACAATTCTACTTGGCAACAGGATGCAACTCCTTAGGACAATTTCTCAGGCTTGTTCACAGGCCCTTTGACCCTTCGGCCTCATTGCTTCAGTCAGTATTAAAAGTTCCCCTTACTCCTGCCAATTCTGGCATCTCCCCTAAGTGATCCTGCAAGCTCAGGCGAAGGCCCCTGGCTCTGGTTCCTTGGGGCAGCAGTCCCCTGTCTGCTGTCACAGGCCAGTCTCTGGGGTTCTGCTGAGACTGCTGTTGCTCTCGTGCAGGTCTCTGCCTGATATGCTGCTAAACCTGGGATATTTAAGCTATAAACTTATATATAACACCTATATATTTAAATCTATATTTAAGCTTGGTGAGATAGGAAAAACTAGCCAATCCCGTGATACGTTTGTACACATGCTTTTCTGGGTTCCCACCTAGTCATGTAGGAACTTTGCACATCAGGGCTGCCGACTAGGAAAGCTATTTGAATGATAGATAAATCCATGATACCATAGCAAGACTCGAAGGGCCTGCAGCCTCTTCATTGCATGGTCATGTGAATGGCAGTGGCTGACTGCCAAGGCCCTGGTGACCAACTAAACTTTGAGTCACAAAGTTGTTCATGACTGTTAGAAACCTCCCGTTTCAGATTTCAGTCTGTGTTGCCTTAGCAAGAGGATGGCTTAAAGATAGTTGTAGTCCAGGGATACTTCTGGACCAGCATTCAGGGAGTTTATTAGTTTTTCACAGTGTTCCCTGAGATGTGCTCTTAGGTGATAATAGGTAATATTTAGGAATGGAGGATGGGCCTTTGGTCCACCTGGTGGAGAACAATGTTTTGAGGAAGAGGAGCCTTCTCCATAGGACTCAGCCAGCGTACCTTTAGCTATGGTCCTAATGTGCTCATAATGTTTTTATTACTGATTGATACCTTTTTAATCAATTACACCATTTTATTTATGTTTTCTAGTTGAAATCTGGAGAAAACATCTAAAAGCGTATAATCAGTGTCCTCAGGAATTAGAAGAATCTTTAGGGGCTTCAACCTCTCAAATGATGAACTTGAAATTATAAGAAGCATTCTTTCCCCCCTCTCTCTCTCTGTGTGTGTTTATGTGTTTGTTGTATTCTGGGTAAGGGGATGGGAACTACAAGATTTTGTCATCTTCCTCTCAGTTCTTCACTGACTTATATACTGTTCTGCATTTGACCACTCAGCATGGAGATTAGCAGAGTAAAAGGTGGGTTTGGAGACCCTAAGATCACTGGAAACCATGCAGTGAGTCCCACTGGCAAGCTTCTGCCATAAAGAAGGGTTACCTGACATATTTTCTGAAAGCCTTAAATATAGTTTGACTTTCTCAGTACAGTATAGTTTGGAAAATATGGTACTTATAGTACTTTGGCTGCTAAAGAAGCCCTTTTCCATTGCAGCATTTTTAAACTAAGTACATTTGTTCACAGGAGAAAAGGTATTGTGCTTCTAAATGTCAGGTAGATCAGGTGACCTTCATTTTTCTCTCCACCTCTCAATATGTGCACTGTCACTGATTTGCAGGAAACGAATAAGCTTTTAGTGATGCTAACATTACAACAGAGAAAAGTGTGGTGAAGGGTTCATCTCTCAGGGCATGTATGTTTTAAAATTTACAGATGTAGAAATATATTTGCTAAAATGAGCCTCGGAAGGAAAAAGTGTTTCCCCCTATGTAAATTATTCTGTTTAGTCTTTATTTTTTTTAAAGAAATAATACATATTGATGTTCTTAAATTTCAGTTTGATCATCTAAAACTTTTTTTAAATGAATATGTTCTGAATGTGGTTTTCTTTCAGGTAAAGAGGACAGAAATTTACTTTATTATTTTCCTACAATTAAGAAGGCTTATTTATTTTGAATAAATAGTGATTAATTCTGCTTAACACTGGTGCTCTTAGATCTTGGTGGTCTCTTTTGTTGGTTACTCCTAAATCCCTGATTTGTCCACTTTGGATAATCTGGTTACTCTACATCAAAGGACCAAGAGGAGGAGAGGTTTGCTGTTCATTTTTCTTGTTCTAACATCTGGAAGTAGACAGGGTGATGCTGAGCCTTAAAGGCCTTTGGTGGAACAGGCAGCCTACGTGGTCTGCTGCGTAGGGAATTGCACTGCCAAACTCAAGGCCCCCAGCCTCATCTTCTGCTCTGAGGAAAAAAGATGGTCAGTCTCTGCCCAGTCCATTTACAGCCTCTGACTAGCCCACTAGAAGGCCAACTCTGCATCAGACTCCACAGCGATGAGTTGTGGGTTTTTTTGGAGTGGACCTAACCTTTACGGTTTTTACCCCCACCAAAGTGAGCATCAGAGAAGGAATGAAAATGCATTGTGCTTGTCTGACAAGCAGGATAATTTTGGGCTTTGAAAATATTGCACATTGAAATAAGCTGTGACTTGTAATGAGGAAATGAAATAGGAATAATGATCCACCATGGCACACTGTGTGGCTGGTGGAGTTTATCACCCTCAGCTGTTGAGACACTTTACTTCCCATAGGTTTCATTTACATCCTCACCAGGTGCTGTGGTAATAAAGTGACTTTCCTGATAGTAGAGGAACTTGAGGCCATGCCTGTGGGCACCTGGTGATTCATACCACAGTTATGGTGCCACATGGAACACTTAGGGAGCTGTTAGTGCTGTCCAGTCAACTACTACTAATAGCAACCCTATAGACAATAAATCTGAACCTTGTTCTATCCTGTTCCATCTTCACCATCTCTGATATTTTCGGGCACATTGTTACAGTCACTGCTCATTGTTCTTGTTTAGGGTCTTCCTCTTTTCCCTACCTCTCAACCTTTCCAAGCCTGATGTCTTCTTTCCAAGAACTGGCTTTTCCTAGCAACATGTCCAAAGTATTTGAGATGACGCTTCACCATCCTTGCCTCTAAGGAGTACTATGTTTTCACTTTCTCCAAGTCATAATTGTTTTAGCAGCCCTTGGCATAGTCAGTACTCTTCTCTAGCACAGCTCAAGGGAATCTTCATCCTTATTCACTACCCAACTCCTTTTTTTTTTTAATTTTTAATTTTGTTGTGTACTGTAGAATCAAATCCAACTGGCACAGGATGAGATTGTCCCTCTCCCTCCAGTGGAGCATCTGGTGGATTCGAACCATGCACCTTTGAGATTGCAGCACAACTTCTGGCCACTAGGCCACTAGAGCTCCCGACTATCTAACTTTTAAATGCACAGCAAGTAGTTGGCTTAAGTAGAATCAGGTGCACCATAGTCTTTAGACTGACATCATTACTCCTCTCCTTGGAGAGGTCCTTAACAGCATATTTCCCCAAAGCTAGTACCAAGGTTCTATTTCACTGCAAGATTTAGTAAAAAATTTCAATTTCTTCGTCTTTGGCTCTAGATATAACTGTGCATATTTGAATAGTAATCATATTGACAGTCTTTCCTTGTATGGATAATATCCTGTCACTCACAACATTGTGTTTCAGGATAGAACTTGAAATTGACTTTTTGATTATGAATGCAACACCATTCTTCTGTTTTTCATTCCCAGCATAGTATATCATATGATTTTAGTCCATCTCATCTCACTAATGCTCAGGTTCCATTTAATTGTTCAGAATTTTTAGTTTTCCAACATTCAAGCTGTGTATATTCCATGTTCCAGTTATTAAACAATGTTTGCCATTATTCCTCATTTCAGCTGACTTTCCATTTTGGACTTTACTACTGTACTAATTACTACTAACTATCCGAGTTCCTCTACTGTTCATAAGAGGGATTGTGTCAGGGTTGTATTCATTCCTCCTATTCCATCTGTATGCTGGCCTCTAGGAAAAGGAATGTGGCATTAGGATTGGATTGTGACATCAATAACCTATGTTATGCAGCTGGCACAACTTTGTTTGCCAAAGCGAGGAGGACTTGAAGTACTTGTTTCAAAGGATCAAAGAATAGAGCCTTCAATATGGATTGCATCTCAGTGTCAAGAAGACAAAGATTCTTACCACTGGACCAATAGGCAACATCATGATAAATGGGAGAAAAGAGTGAAACTGTCAACGACTTCGTCTTACTTGGTTTCACAATCAACACTCTTGGTACTAGCATTTAGGAGACGCATTCCACTGGGAGAGTCTGCAATCAGGGACCTCTCCAAGTTATTAAAGAGTAATGATGTCAGTTTGCATCTGATTCAGGCCATGGTCTTTTCATTTCATTTCAAGTTCTCAGATGCACTTGCTGTGCATCTGAGAACTAACTAGACAGTGAATAAGGATGACAGAAGAATTGATGATGCCTTTGAGTTGTGGTGTTGGAGAAGAGTACTAAACATCCATGGACTACCAAGAGGATAAACAGATGTGTCTTAAAATGTTACAGCCATATACTCTTTGGGAGCAAGGATGATAAAGCTTTGCCTCACATACTTCAGGCATGTTGTTAGAAGGGACTGTTCTTGGAGAGGAACATGATGCTTGGAAAGGTAGAGGGTCAGCAAAGGAGATGAAGACCCTTAACCAGGTGGATTGACATGGTGACTACTGCTGTGGGCCCTAGTGTATCAGAAGATGTTAATATGGCACAGGACAGGATAGGGTTCATTCAGATCTCTTGTTCATAGGGTTGCTATGGGTTGTACATAATAGCACCTAACAACAAGAAGTACCAAGGGCGTTGATTATGGATCTAAGTAAGATGAAACTGTTGATAATTTCAATTCAAATCAGTAATTCAACCAATTCAAATCAATAATTGTCTACTGGCCCAGTGGTAATGATGTTTACCTTGATGTTGAGATGTAATCCATATTGAAGGAAATAGTCTATGATCTGCAGCAAGCACTTCTAGTCCTTTTCTGTTTCAGAGAGCAAGATTGTGACATCTGCTTTATGCAGGTTGTTAAGTCTTCCACTAATCCACATTCTTCATCAAGTCCAGCTTTCCAAATGAGAACTTGAATAGTTTTGGAGAAAGGATACAACCCTGATACATACCTTTCTTGATTTTAAACCATGCCGTGGCGTTTCCTTATTTTGTTCTGACAACTGCTTCTTGGTCTATGTATAAGTTTCGCATGAGCACAAAAAAACTGTCCTGAGATTCCCATTCTTCTCAGTGTTTGCCATAATTTGTTATGATCTTCATAGTCAAATGCCTTTACATAGTCAGTAAAGCACAAATAGACATTATTATCAATTTGTGCTTCAGTAGCACAAACTGAAAAAATAGTATTCTCTGCTTTAAGCCAAGATCCATCTGATACCAGCAATGGTATCCCTGGTCCCAGTCTCTTCTCAGTCCAGCTTGAACTTCTGGCAGTTCTTTGATAATGTTCTGTTCCAGCTGACTCCTCACATATAAGAAGAGCATAATGCTTTGCTTTTATTTTCTCAACAGTGCAAAGGATCAAAAATGAAACTCTTCATATTGTATTTTCAACAGAATACATGTACTGTGATAACTGTAAGAGGGATAGGGAATGTTTGCTGAATAAAAACATGCTCAGCTAAATCCAGACTACATAGAGAATTGAGTACAGAAAACAATATCAAAGGCAGAGGCCAAAACTTAGAGCAATTCACTCAGCAGCAGTAATGGTTGAAGTCCCATTCCAATCATAATGAGAGTGAAGAGTGGATGACGGAAGAACTTTACATTAAATTGTGATACTTTTCTGAAGTAGATCAATGTTTGGCATGGGGATAAGCTGGTACTTGGGAAGTTGTTAGCTTCTAGACTCCGGGTGGGGTCCAGAGAGAGAAGAACCCCGGGGTACCTTTGTTTTTTACTTTGTCGCTAAATGCGTGTTTACTGTGGACCATTGGGAAAACTGGAGAGAAACACATGCTGATCTTCAGAAACTTTGAGAACTCCATCCACCCACTGCTTAAAGAATGACCTCGAAATAAACCCACAACTGAGATGGCATCCAAGGCTTGTTAGGAATCCCAACAGAATCACAACTTTATTTTTAACAGACATCTTGGGTTTATGATAGACCTAAAAAATGCCATTGCACATGCTTAACACATGAGGCCATGGCTGCAGCTTCAGTAAAAGTCCCAAAA